AGGAAGCTTGGAAGCCTTAAAATTGAAAGTGAAAATTTTGCAATTAGATCCCTAATGTTTCAGCCAAATGAAGATCAATATAGAGGAATTGGATTTTCATAAATCTAAGTTGATATTTGAATTCTATATGAAAAATCATGTATGAATGGCCCAAGGGAATTAAGGAATCAAAGTTAGAAATAATAACCCAAAAAATCAAGTAAAAAAAGATGAAGGGTTATTATGATGAATAGAATAATAATGTGTGATACCCTATTGTGTTAGCAATAGGTTTTGCATCAAAAGAAAGGAAAAATTTTCTAAGCGAAAGAGCTTGAAGACAAGGAAAAAGCTTAAGAGAGGTCGCTAGCATTTACTATTTAAATGTTATCCACATTGTATTTATTGCTACATGTTATGCTATGTTGCTATGCCATAATATGAAAGAGATTATGATGTTATGTGATGTATAACTCCATATATGTCATGCCTTGGCTTATGCAATGTTGAGTGCTATGAATGAGAAGAATGTTATTTCCTTTTCATACTACTACAAAAAAGACATTTAGCGGCGGTTAAAATGAGCTTTTTGCAATGGTTTTGAGATCAACGTCTATGCCATCGATGTAAAATATAGAGGATTTTATGGCGGTTTAAGAACCGCTGTGGTATGTGACTTTCACAGCAGTTATATAAATAACCACTGTGAATTTTTTTGTGTGTTTATATTTCATCATATTGATCATGATGGAACGGGTGAATAAAACCCCAAAGGAAATGTTTGAGAATCAATCAACCAATAACCTGTCACGAATTAAAAGCATTTTGATAAAGCGAATGTAGATTCTTTCTTGCCATAATAGCACCACTTAGCTTCTTCTTTAACCACCAGATCGTAGGCACTAAGATTTAATAAAGGTAAAACCAAAGACTCAGATCTGATAAAATTCATAAATTTCATGCTGTTAAACTCTGAACTACAAAATGAAGGAGAAAGAAATCAAATCTACTCAAGGTTTCAAATATTAAAGTATGTTTAAGTAGGGAAGAGGAACAAAAATCAGACCTATTTAAACTCAGAATAAACATCATATGTTTAACACACAAAAAACAACTGAACCACAAAAACTATGAAACTCATAGAAAGAATGGAGAAAAAATGGTGAAAACCTCATAAATAAGAATGAAGAGGATAAGGCGATGGTGAAGGCAATAGCGACAGGTGATGGAAGAACATGGCAGAGATGATAGAAGCAAAGGATAAACATCGGCAAAGGTAGGAGGAGGGAGAAAATTGAGTAGGAACGATAATGGAGGATTATGAGTTCCGACTCTGAAAAGTGAAAACTATCACATGATAGATATGGTTTTAAAATTCTGATAGCTTTTTAAAGCGATTATTTAAAAAAACACCACCGTAAAAAGTATTTTTTTATAGCGGTTATTTAAAAAACCAGCGTAAAAAAAACTTTTCACGGTGGTGTTCTGGATAGCCGTGGCGAAAAGTAAAATTTACTTCCCTATAATTACAAAAATACCACCGTTATATTTTTTACAGTGTTTTTTCTAATGACTGCCGTAAATTAGTGTTGTGAAAGCTCTTTTTTGTAGTAGTGTGGCATGTAAATGAAGTTTAAAGCATATGATAGCTAGTGCATGTGGCAAGTAACACTTTGCTTGAGTGTAACATTGTAAACGTGGTGCTATGCTACCAAGATTCCTATGAATCTTACCCCTCCCATATTCCAATACACCCTAGGGCTTGCAACAAACAAAGAGAAAAGGCTAGGAGGTGATCAATGCTTGAAGGAATGGTTAATGTTATGAAACTTTATATGAATTGACCTTTTCTTGGAATTATGTAGATATTTGTAAATTAATCTTTTTGGACAACCCTATGCTATATTTTGAATCAATTTTATGCCAAAGTATGCTAATATATCCAATTATATGGATGAATGGATGGTATGGCTAGCTAGAACTTAAGTATGAAGAGGCAAAGTAATCAAGGGATAAAAGTCAATGTTTGGGATCAAACTTTAACCAACGTGATTTTGACCAATCGAATGAGTTAGGTCACAAAATTTTACATAAAAATAGATCTTTCTTTTCTCTTTAAAATGAGTGGTAACATGCCTGAAATGAATATTTATACAAGAAGTTATACCTATCCAAATTTAGGCAAAAATACTGAAAAATTAAAAAATAACCAAATAAATGGTACTTTTTGAAAATTAATATGGGCTTGAATTTGAAGAAAATTCATCCAGAAACAGTTTTTTTTCAAAAGATAATTCAAAGAGCTTCCAATAGAACTTGGAATCACTCAATTTTAATTTTTCTAAAATTAATTATGATTTTTTAAAGTTTAGCCAAATTATGACTTGCTGTGAGTAGTGACCTGAGTACAAAATTTTTCAAGTTTAAATTTTTTCAAAATTTTGGCCATCAAATGTGATTCTAGTTGCTTCTAATTGGTTAGTTATTTGGTATAAAATGAAAATGTTGCATGCCTAACCCTCCATCTCCTCATCGTCCTCCTCATCCCCGATTCCCTGCCCCCTCATCATCATCCCCATCATGACTAGCCAAGGCGGTATTACCACCATCTCGCATTTTGATGTTGAGATCAAAATCCTCATCAATCTCATTATCCCTTGATACTAATAAGCAGCTCCTACTCCTCCTGGGGCTCCTCAAATGGCCCTGGTCGATCAAGATGCTGCGGGGTCTTGTAGGTTTAATTAGATCCTTAATGTGTTGACAAGCCATTCCAATAAACTTAAACAACATAATAAACAAAAAAAATTATATCAAATTATCAACAAATAATTTTACTCATTTAATAAAATAATAAAATAAATAATTATATTTTTAAAAGATGAATAATTTAAAACATAAAGCAAATTAAATTCATCAAGTTTAAAATAAACAATTGTATTAATTAACCAATAATGAAATTATAATAATATTAAAAACAATTATATAAACATCCAAATTCAAATATAAATAAATAAACAAATTATTAAAGAATGAGTTACATTAATGAACAATTAAAAAGGATATTAAAAAAAACTCATAAAAAAAAAGGATATTAAAAAAAATTATATGAATATAAAAAATTTAAATAATATATTCATTTTTACTTGCACCTAGGTAGCTGAGTATGGATCTGGAGTTTCAATCGGATCTGGAGCTAGATCTGGATCTGGATTGCAAATGAACAAGAAAAAATTGGTAGAGTTCTGCCTCTGAAACACACCAAAAATAGTAAAATAAAGAGTGGGAGTATATATAGACATTCCAGTTGTAGTGGTTCTCTTTTCCACGTTAATTTGTAGCAATTGTCTTTTAACCACTACAAAACTGTGGCACGTGGTGGCTCAGCATCAAATAATATGATACTCTGTAGCGGTTTAGAAACAACCGCTACAAAGTAACATAGTCAGTTTGTATGGTTAGCGGGAGAACCGCAACAAACTGGACTAACAATTGACATTCTGGAACGCTTTGTCCCAAGTGATCACTACAAACAGCACGCTACCAACTTGGTGCCAGCTTTGCGTCATATGGCGCCAACTTGGCGCCATGTTTGTGGCGATTAATTCTAGGAAACCGTTACGAATGAACCACTATAAATGTGGCATGAAGCTGGCGCTAGGTTGGTAGTGGTTTTGTGGGCAAAAAACAACTACTAAATGCCACACAAACTTCATCTTGGTCAAAGGGCTGCCAAGTTGTAATGATCTAGTCAAAAACAGTTACAAACTTTGTAGCATTTTTTTTACCGCTACAAAGTGAGTGCTGCAAAAATGGTTTTTTTTTTCAGTGCTACTTTTATTTCAAAAATTTAAAAAATATATTTAATGTTGTTGAAGATCTAATGATTACTTTTTGTTTAGTGATTTACTACTCTTATGTAGTCAACATCAATACGAAAGTAGTTATCGGAACTTTAAATACAAAAGGATAGTCATTAGCTAGGAGTAAGGTTAATGTTGTCATTTCATAATATTTTAAAATTGTATAACAATATAAATGGTTTGATTTGAGATTTTGAAATCCACCCATCCTAATTTGTCCTTTAGCATTTTTTTAGGATATTTTAGTGTCTTATTCTCTTTTCTTATTTTAAAATATGAGTATCTACTGTATTTTAAACCTTTTTAACATTATAAAATCCTTTAATTAAATATAAAAACATATTATTAAAAAAAGGATACATCAACGCCACAAAATATCCATTATCGATATCTCTAGTTTCAAAGGGTTCCTTTGTTTTCCATAGATGTTTCGTACCCCAAAGAGGGATAGTTTTTTTCCAAAATTTTAATGATCAAGGATCTACGCCATATGGAGCACGCCATGTTTCATACTGCTCTTGGGTTATCACTAAAGTGGGAATCAAGTCTCCGTCAGCGTTATCATTCTCTCTTCCGCAGATGTCTTCGGATCAGTGTTATCACCCTTCCCAAAGAATTCCTTAAGCCCTTTAATGCATCCTCTCCTGGCATGTTCGAATTCATTGCTTCCTTTTGAATCAAAAGAACAATTTTTCGGAGTTGCATCAAGCAACTTATCTCTATGCGACAATCCCTTCTTTGTTTCACCAGAGGCATCCAGGTCCTCCATCATCTCTTCTGAGCTCCTCCTCGACTTCTTATTCCTATCTCTATCATCATCATCGTCCGCCATTGAGATACAACAAAATGTAAGAAAATATCAAAAAGATATTATGTTTTTTCTCCCAGAACATTTTTTATTTTTTATTTTTTTTTGGAACACAACAAAAAACACATTTTCAAAGAATTTTTTATCCAGAAAAAATTATTCTGAAAATAAAAAAATCAAAACGACCCCATATTGTCATAAATAAAATAAAAACCACGATGTGTGTTTGTTCGTTTCAATAGCTTCTTATTTAATTCGGTGCGTCATCCGCCAGTCAACTTAAAAAAAAAAAAAAGGAAAGAAAAGAAGAAGGAAGAAGAGAAATCCGGCTTTGCTTCCAACATTTGCGTGCGTGTATTGCTGTAAGATATTGACGATAGGCCATCACTTTCTATCCTCATCACCATCCACTCATACAAAAACACATTCATAGCAAAATATCAGACGCCATGGATTCTGCTGCGAGCAATCCAATACTCACTTTGACTAATTCGCTACGCTTTATCTTCTTCTGTGTTATCATCTTCTTCTTCTTCGTCCCTGCGAAGCCTGACCCCTCTTCATCATCATCATCATCATCATCATCAAGAAGCTGGTTTAATGCAGAAGCAGAAGCAGAAGAAGCTGTGGGTTATGGGTACAGCATTGCAAGTGTGAGCACCGACGTGTCGCGAAGATCTCTGAGCGCTATTCTTCATCTCATCAAGCCATCCGCTGTTTATGGACCTGACATTCCTTTCCTCTCCCTTACCGCCAGGTAACCTCACTAAATGAAACCAAACCGTGGTTTGGAAAAATGATTCTGGAGAATAGATTCTGGAAAAAATAGATTCTGTGAAGAATAGATTTTGTAAAAAAGTGATTCTGAGAAGTGAGAGTGTTTGGATAGTTGTTATCAGAAGCACTTTTTATATATACAAATTACTAAAAAAAAGACATAAGTTAATATGATAATTACAGAAAAATAGATTTTATGATATATTTTAATTTGAAGAAATAAAATTGTTAATAATATGTTTTTTACCAACATAATTAATAATACATAAGATAATATAATTAATAAATAATTAATGTCTATATATATTTATAAAATAAGATTAAATATATTTATAAAAAAATATGTTTATAAAAAAAATAACAAGATACATATCATATAGGCCCACACACTCTCCCTTTTTTCTCCAAAAGCAAAAAAATTTTGTTTTTTCCAAAACCATGGTTTTGGAATCAAAACCATGGTTTTGACCCAAAACCATGGTTTTGGTTTTTGGAGAGGCTGTTTGGGTAGCATTTTCCCCAAATCATGGTTTAGGTCCCCAAACCATGGTTTGGGGTGCTATCCAAACAGAGCCTAAATCAACTCCCAGATACCAACAATATTGTTTTTCTTTTTCTTTATATAGATTAATACGTGTAAATCCTCAAAATTATTTCCTCCCTTATTTTTTACTAAATTCATACACATTACTCCGGTTTTTATTATAAGTCACTTGTAACTCATTCTCAAGTAGTATGAATATATTAAATTGATAAAAAATTTTAAATTTGTTTTTATTGAAGTTTTTTTTCTCTTTGTTCGCTTAAAAAAAGTTTTTTCTCTTTATATGTTTACAAATCATTCCCACATATGTTTTCGTAGTATTAAAAAAAAAAATCATTCCCACATCTATCTTCTCTGTCTCTTTTTTCTGCAAGAATTAAATAAGAATAAAATTAGAAAACAATCATTAAATAACCAACAAGTGACTTATATTTACGATAATAAATTTTCTTAGACATGACTTCTAATAAAGATAAGAGTTATATATAAATATATATATATATATATATTAGTTACATTGTATGAAGTTTAGGTCTACAGGATAAAATTTTTGAATTATGTAATAAATGGTATAAAAGTGTAAACAAATGAAATAATCGTAAATGACTTATTAATTATTAATTTGTTATGTGGTATTAAAAATATTTTTATTTAATTATTTAAATGTGTTTATTTTATTTATTATTTTTTTCTTTAACAACGTCATGATATTTTTTAATTACAATTTTTTTATTTTTTAATTTCTAAAACTTATATATGGAAAATTCTTTTGTGGAAAAATCTCACAAAAATAACATGAAAATTACTAAATCTCTAATAAAAAATTCCTACAAAAATATGTTATATCCAAGTCAAGTGTATTCAATATATATTAAAATGAAGGAAAAAAAACTTGATTTGTAACGTAGTGATTTTAAAGTTCTTTTTGTGAAATTTTTCTTCTTTTATAGTCGAGTTTTTCAATGTCCATAGCTTTTCAAGATCAACTAATGTTTTCAAATTAGCTTTTGATATAAGAGTCCAATTCTAGTCCGGGGAAACTTCATTAAACCTCCAATTTACAGCTCTTCCCCCCCCCCCCAATTTCAACCATCATTGGCTGATAAAGCTTTGGCAACGGAGAATGATTTGCAACTATAATTAGCAAATTTATAGTGGCACATAATGAAGTTTACAGATCCTACTACTTGGGAGCAGTCACTAGACCTCCGATGGCTGGTGAGAATTTTATTTTTTAATAGGAGAAACAAAGAGTCAAGAGAATCAATGACTTTTCACTCACAAAATTTAATTCCTAGCCTTTGGGATACGGTGAAATTATAAAAAAATTTCGGAACGCATGGAAATTAATTGGCAACAGTGGGGTGCAGTGAAATTGTCACTTCTAATTATTGTTAGCTTAGTCTTTCCATCTCCAAACTTAATTAAATTAAAGTCGAAGCAAGGGATAAAGATAGAAAAATGATCAAATTTTGGGGCGCAGAGTGAAATGGAGCACATGTTACATCCCACTTAGGTCATAAGACTTGTTACATCATCATCAAGATTATCAACCAATCAATATGTGCTAGCTAAGATAAGAATGTATGCATGACTGACACAAATTCTCTTCATTTTTGCAAAAACTAAACCAACATGAAAGATACTATGAGTGAAAATGCAAAAATATCGATAAGGTATTTCGTGGACAACTGCTAACATTATTAACTCTCTTTTTTTGTTTTTTTGTTTTTTGCCACATTTTAACTCATTGTTAACTAGGCATGACGTATGTTAAGTAAGGACTGTGGCTCCCACATACTATATCTCGGTTAGTGGTTCTGCCAATTTGAATGAATTTAAATAAAAGTTTAATATAATGTTTAGTACTTTGTTCTTATTTTAATTTTGATCTTTATAATTTTAAATCTTGATTTATTCCGTTTACAATTTTAGTCCATACAGTTTAATAAGGAACTAGACAGTGTTAAGTTCCTTGACGTGCCACTCATACCATTTATTTTGCTAATATGACTTGATGACTGGGCGAGCTGATTGGGCATTGGATTTTTTTTTCCTCGAAAAAAGAAAAAGGCCGTCATCTTCTTCGCATAATAGGGGGCGTTCTCATTGAGCTTTTAATTGAAGATTTTTGTACTTTTTTTTTTAGAGTTTATAAGTGATATTGTGTTATAGGGTGGTACTTTATACATATGTTTGCCCTTATAATCCCATTTACGTATAAGAGACTTACAATCTTCACTTAAAAAATTAACGTGCAAATTTGCTTCAAAAAATTTAAAATCACAACAATATTACTTATACTATTAAAAAACTAATGTTGATTATTAAAATAGTAATGTTGGTCATTAACATTTTTAACGGTAGGAGGTACAATTGTTACCATTAACGTTCGGGACAAATTTGGATCCAAAAATCTTCCATATGCCCAGCACTCCTAAGTTAAAACTTCTAAAACAAATTTGTACCTTAACTCTTACTTAACAGACATCATGCCTAGTTTTTGGGAAAGATCGTATGGATTTTTGAGAGTTAAAGGAAATTTTCTTCACAATACTTGAGTTAAGAATGTTAGCAACTCTTCACAAAAATACTTTCAAGCTATTTTTGCACTTTATTTGATTAGTTTTTGAATCTATTGAACAAGTTCAAAAAAAATTTTCATTTTAATTTAAGAGCTATGGTAAGTCATCTAAAGTTATTATTTGGGAAAATCACAAAAAAAAACCGTAAAAATTACAAAATTGCAAATCAAGTATTTTGTCAAAGATGTGTTGTCATTTACAATCTACTCCTCCAGTCTTTAATATAGAACCTAATTATTGAGTTGATCTTGGTCCTAAATATAAGACTTATTTATCACAGCTATCAATTTTTCCTAAATTACCCCTATTAATACTCTCTTAACCATAATTAAATAGGAAAATGATGGAGGATATTAAAGAAGATGATTATAGTGTTTTAGAAAAAATATATCATATTTTTTATAATGAACTAGCTTACCTAACTTCCTTAATCTAATTAAATTAGTTAAATAGGTCTTATATTAAAGGAGGAGTAATTGTTATCAACATCTGTGAAAGTGTTGATTTTATAATTTTCACTATCCTTTTTTGTGATTTTCTCTTATTATTTTACCTTTCCCTTAATGCTTTAAAAGTTAGGGTAAAAAAAAAAAGGTATAAAAATGCCATAAAATTTGTTGAAATCCTAGTGTAGAGTCTCATAGCCTTTTATTACACTCCCACCATCCCTTTTCATAAATGACAATTATCATTTCTGCATTGTCTTATTTATAAGAAATATTTGCAAAATATTTTAAAGTTTTTTTGGCTAGTTATCTATTTTGCCCCATTAATTACTTATTTTAATATTGAATATATTTATCATTTCATTTCTCGAAGCGTTATTCATTCATTTTTTTCTCTTATACTCTTTCTCCCAAAAATAAGAGTATTTTTCAGGAAAAAAACTCATAATTTTTATATATTTATTTTGACAAATTTTAACTAACTTTTTGATCTATGTAATTTGATTAAATGTTTCATATAAAAAGGGCAGAGAGAGTAAGTAAATTTTAGAATAAATTTATGAAAATGCCTCTTAATTTTAAAAGTTCACTTAAAGGACCCCCAAAGCTTCAATACTTTAATAATTTTAAGTAATTTCATTGTATTTTTAAATATTGTGCGTGATCTTAGAAAAATTCTTCCTAAAATAGTAAAATGTCCTTTAATATTTTCCAAAATATTTTCTGTTTAATATTAAAATGGGAAAAATGTCATTTCAATTTAATTTTTTTTTCTTTATAAGATGTCTATCCAATGATCAGTAAAATGTTTAACGTTATCCTACTTTATTTAAAGACATTTTTGTTTAAATTTAAATTATAAGTTAATTTCCAATAATGTAAAAATTTATAGAATAATTTAATATTTGATAGTTTTTAGGTTTTATGATTTTTTTATTTTTAATTCAAAATAAATAAATATAATCACCAAAAAGTCTTATATGAATAACAAATTATAGTACATAAAATGACAACAAATTCATGTATGTTGTTTACTTAACATTAAACATTTTAGCAATTACATATATTTTTTGAGATCTTATAATGATTTTTCCAGAATTAATTATTAAGTAAATTTCGCATTTTAAATATTTTTATATATTTTTATAATCGTCATCTATTCAAATTGTGCTGATTATTTTTTTTAAATTTTAACTTATTTTTTAAAATAATAAAAAATCGCTTTTTAAGTACTATAAAAAGTTAAGCATACATTATAAAAATTTCTCAAGTATTTTTTCAAAGGAAGTTATATATTTATATATGAAAAAATACAAAGAAATGCGCCTTGGTTGGTTAAAAAACGAATAACAATCATCGGCATTATTTTTGGGCTGTTAGAAGAACAACGGCTTTTGCTGGGTTTGCCTTTTAACGCATGCAATGCGATGATCTTGACTGTAGTTTCGAGAGCAGAGACTGGTTTAGAGTAAGAATCAGCGACGCAACAAAACAAAGATGGGAAATCCCACAACAAGTGATTTCTCGTCCTTCCTTTTCTCCTCACCGTTCCCTCTTTGCTCAAAATCTGCCTTCCCACCTCAATCAACATCGCTCACAATCACAACTCTCCTTGATTCATCCCAACTCAGATTTAATCTTCACCCTCCACAACACCACCCCTTTTGGATTCACGATCACTCGCAAATCCTCAAGCGACATCATCTTCGACACATCCCCAAACCCAGAAAATTCATCAACATTTCTCATCTTCAAAGACCAGTACCTTCAGCTCTCTTCCTCGTTACCCAAAAATGGGGCCTCTTTGTACGGTCTTGGAGAGCACACTAGAAGTTCCTTCAAGATCCAACCCAATCAGGTCCTTACATTGTGGAATGCTGACATCGCTAGCTCTAATCTCAATCAGAACCTTTATGGGTCCCACCCATTTTACATGGATGTTCGTTCTGATTCTGCTGATGGAAGAGTCAAGGCTGGGACCACTCATGGGGTTTTGCTACTCAACAGTAATGGAATGGACATAATCTATCATGGTGATCGTATCACTTACAAAGTTATCGGAGGGATTCTTGATCTTTACTTTTTCGCCGGACCCACGCCGGAGTTGGTGATGGAGCAGTACACAAAACTCATTGGCCGCCCTGTTCCAATGCCATATTGGTCCTTTGGTAAGTGATAGAACTATTATGATGATTTAGTTTTGTTTTTGCTTGATTACATGAACTTTTTAGTCATATTCTGCATGAAAATAGGTCTCTTCAAAAGTTGTTTTCTTCTGTATTAAACATGGTGCAACATTTTAAAGAATATTACTATTATATTATGCATTTGTTTTTTCTCCTAGTATCGTATTCTTGTTGAAGCCGATTAAGATTCACAGGTTTTTGAAATTATTGTACCTTCAGGTCAAAAAAAATTAGAGTACCTTAGTTATTGTACATCACATAAGGTAGAGGAAAGAAATATAGAAACTCTTAGGACATGAACCAGAAAAGTATGTATTTTATTTTCTTCCATATGGGGATCTGAGTAATATAGGCAAAGAAGATGGCAAGGCTATGTATTGTTTTCTCATGTCCCAGAAAGGATTTTGAAAGATGAATTGAAAGATACGCAATAAGCTGACATTTAGAGTTCACATTTGAATTAGGGTTGTCTGTCTATATATCATACTCTACTTTCTACGCTAATCCTCATTGTTTTGATATCTTTGGTGAAGGCTTTCATCAATGTCGCTATGGCTACAAGAATGTAGCTGAACTTGAGTATGTCGTTGCTAACTATGCAAAAGCAGGCATACCCCTGGAAGTAATGTGGACAGATATTGATTACATGGATGGCTATAAGGATTTTACACTTGATCCCATCAACTTTCCCCTAGATAAGATGAGAGAGTTTGTCAATGCTCTTCACCAGAATGGTCAAAGATATGTTCTAATTTTGGATCCAGGTACTTCCCTTTTAGCACTACAGATCTTCTCAGCAAAACATATTACTCTTTTCCCTTCTTTGTGGAAGTATGTTATATTAAAAATATAAGAAGTAGTTAGTTATAGTTAGTTAGTTCAGTTAGTTGATTTCAGGTAGTTTAATGATTCCGTACAGAATTAGCCGTTGGGAGCTAACCTATTTAAAGGGGTTCCTAAATCAATTGTATGTGTGATGTTTTGTTTTCAGTGAATATTCAATCCATTCAGTATTCTCAGTACCTCTCTCTCTCTCTCGTCTCTCTGTTTCTCCTACTCTTTCCCTCTCTTTCCTCTTCTTTTTCAAATATCATAACAATTGGTATCAGAGCATTCGATTCTCGGCCTACCCACTGCGACTCCACACCATATGCCAGAAACCAGAACAATGGTAAACAACAGAGCATTAGACGAACGCTTACAAGTGATCGAAGATCAACTGGGCTCCGTCTCGACGCTACAGGAAACGGTTAATGGAGTCACCGATCAACTTCAGGTTCTGGCGCGAAGCATGGAGGACGTCCGACAGCTGGTGGCAACCCAAAATGAAAATCGCGAGCAACCCAGAATCTTGAACCGAAACCAAGAAATGCGAAATCACGATGCGGCGCGACCTCGGCAGATGCAATTCACTCGAATGGATTTTCCGAAATTCTCTCGTCAAGATGTCGTCGCCTGGGTCTTGCGTTGTGAACGGTATTTTGAGTTGGATAATACACCCGAGGATGCGAAAGTGAAAATGGCGAGCTTACACCTCGATGAAGACGCGTTTCGATGGCATATTGCGTGCGAACGGCGATGGCGAGGAGCTCTGCCAGCCTGGGAAGATTACGTCGCAGAATTAAAGGATTGTTTCGGTCCTACGTATGAGTCTCCGATGGGCGACCTACTCCGTTTGCGACAACTGGGGACTCTGGCCGAATTTAACGCGGAGTTCGATCTTTGTTCTTCTAAATTTGACTTGGCCGAAGACTTGCTGGTTGATGCGTATCTTTCTTTGATACGGGAAGAAATATCTGGGCCCGTTAGAATGTTCAGGCCCAGAACAATCAGAGAGGCTAAAAGCCTTGCCCGGATGCAGGAGATAACCAATGACAGAATTAGAGAAAAGAAAACGGGGGAAAGGGGAACTAGATATGTAGCCCCTGGTTCATCAGTGTCGTCCATGTCTCTTGCAACATCAACCCCATACAAGAATGCATTGCTTAATGGCAGCACCCAGAAAAAAGATAAGCTTGCCATTACTGTCCAGAAGAACACAAACGGTGCCTTCAAGAACTTTACCAAGAATTCCAAGATTCTTACGGCTGAAGAAGAAGCTGAGCATAGGGCCAAGAACCTATGTTTCTACTGCCATGAGAAATTCTCAAGGGACCATAAGTGTCCTCAACGCCAAAAGATGCAGCTCCATTTCATTGAGCTGGAAGAACCAATGGAGACCAGTGGTTATGAGGAAAATGAACCAGAGGAAGATGATGATTCTATGCCACTTATATCCCTTCATGCAATTAAAGGGGTTGACAGTACGGATGCTATGAGGATTCAAGGATTTGTGGGCAAAAGGAGTATTCAAGTTTTAATTGATAATGGGAGTACTCATGATTTCCTAGATTTTACTCTTGCTCAAAAATTAGGATGGAAAGAAAGTGGTACTGATTTTTCTTTCGTTCAGGTTGCAGGAGGTAGAAGATTGAAGGTGCATGGGATTTGGCATGGTTTTAGATGGCGTATGCAGGGCATGGACTTTACATGTGATTTGAGAATCATAGAACTACAGACCTATGATATTGTTTTGGGTCTAAAATGGCTTAAAACTATTAAGAGTGCTTTCTGGGAGTATGAGACCCTCACTATGCATTTCTGGTACAATGGGCAGCTGTGTAAACTTCAAGCTACCCCTCCTAATTCAATGATGATAGTGCCACCTAAGAAGTTGGGATACAAGAAGGATCAAGAGCAGCAAATGTTCTTGATTCACTTGCTGCAACCTCAAGGACAGCACTTGCAGCAGTGCCTTTCAATTCAAGATGTAGTAGAAGGGGTCCCACAGGAAATACAAGGAGCTCTAAATGATTTTGCTGATCTGTTTGAGGAGCCAAAAGGTCTTCCTCCATTGAGAAAGGGTCATAATCACCCCATTGTTTTGCAGAAAGGAGCTGACCCTATAAGCTTAAAACCTTATAGATACCCTTCAGCCCAAAAGGATGTCATTGAAAAATTAGTTGGGGAATTGTTGCAAAATGGGGTTATACAAGATAGCTCCTCACCATTTTCAGCACCTATTGTTTTGGTTAAGAAAAAGGATGGCACATGGAGAATGTGCATTGACTATAGGGAGCTGAACAAGAAAACTATAAAAAATCAGTATCCCATCCCTCTCATTGAGGATTTACTTGATGAATTACAGGCTGCTAAGTGGTTCACTAAACTGGATCTAAGAGCTGGGTACCACCAAATCAGAATGGTACCTGAAGATGTAGAGAAAACTGCATTTAAAACTCATGCAGGGCATTATGAGTGGCTAGTAATGCCATTTGGACTGACTAATGCCCCTGCAACTTTTCAGGGAGCTATGAACAGTATTTTTAAACCATTTTTAAGAAAGTTTATTTTGGTTTTCTTTGATGATATACTGATTTATAGTTCTTCCTTGACAGATCATGTGGAGCACCTGATTCAAGCCTTCAAAATTCTTAGGGAACACCACCATTTTGTGAAGAAATCCAAGTGCACTTTTGCTACCAAGAATGTTGAGTACTTGGGACACATTATAAGCAATGGAAGAGTTTCTACTGACCCTAAAAAAATTCAAGCTGTTGCTGATTGGCCTATTCCTCAGTCTATTAAGCAACTAAGGGCTTTCCTAGGCTTGGCTGGCTATTATAGGCGATTTATTAAGGGGTATGGAGGGTTGGCTAAGCCCCTAACTCAACTTCTCAAGAAAAATGGGTTTAAGTGGGATGATTCTGCCACTACAGCCTTCAGCAAGCTGAAGAATGCCCTAGTTACAGCCCCTGTTCTTGCTCTACCAGATTTTTCTAAGCAATTTATTGTGGAAACCGATGCATGTGGCTTGGGCATAGGTGCTGTTCTTATGCAACAAGGCCAACCAATAGCTTTTTTCAGCAAAGCTTTGGCTCCCAAGCATCTAAATCTTTCTATCTATGAGAAGGAATTGCTGGCGGTGGTGCAAGCAGTGGAACATTGGCACCAATATCTAGAAAGAACCAGATTTGTAATCAGAACAGACCAGCAAAGCCTTAAATATTTGCTTGGACAGAAGCTAAAGACTCCTTTTCAAATGTATTGGATAGCTAAATTGATGGGGTATGATTATGAGATTCAGTACAAGAAGGGAAATGATAACTCAGTAGCTGATGCCTTGTCAAGACTACCTAGTTCACAGCTGTTACAGATGTCCCTTGACACTACTTCTCCAGAATTAATGAATCAGATTCAGGAAAGTTGGAAGAATGATGCTGATTTGGCTGCCATTATTTCTGAAATTGAGAGGAAGGGGTCTGCTCTTGGAAAATACACGTGGGATGGCACTTACTTAAGGAGGAAAGACAAACTTCCAGTGGGAAATGATGCTTCACTAAGGCAAAAATTATTGGAGTGGCTTCATGCTAGTCCACAAGGGGGTCATTCAAGAATTCAAGCCACCTATCAACGAGTTAAGGGACTGTTTTGGTGGAAACATCTGCATAGGGATGTGCAGGACTTTGTTAAGGGATGTGATACTTGTGCTCGCTGTAAATATGAGACTACTGCATCTCCAGGTTTATTGCAGCACCTACCTATCCCTAGCAAGGTTTGGGAAAGTGTTTCAATGGATTTCATTGAGGGTCTACCCAAATCTGGAAATAAGGAAGTTATTTGGGTTATAGTGGACAGAATGACTAAATATGCCCATTTTATTCCCCTCTCTCATCCCTATACAGCATCTACTCTTGCTCAATGTTTCCTAGATCAAGTGTATAAGTTACATGGAGCCCCGGTTGAAATCATAAGTGATAGGGATCCAATTTTCATCAGCAACTTTTGGAAGGAATTCCTTAAGGTCTTAAAGGTGGAACAAAAGCTAACATCGGCTTACCATCCTCAAAGTGATGGTCAAACAGAGGTCTTAAACAGGTGCTTAGAGGCCTACTTGCGTTGTATGTGTTGGGAAAGCCCTAAGGAGTGGAGCTCTTGGGTGTCTTTAGCAGAATGGTGGTACAACACTAATTTTCACACTTCTACTAAAATTACACCTCATGAGTTGTTGTATGGGCAGAAACCTCCAATATATGTTCCTTACATTCCTAGATCTGCTGTGGTTGAAGCTATTGACAGAAGTTTTGAAGCTAGGGAAAGAATGGTAGCTGTCCTAAAGCATCACCTACACAAGGCTGCTAATACTATGAAGCAAAGGGCAGACTTAAAGCGTTCAGATAGGGAGTTTCAAGAAGGCCAATGGGTTTTTCTTAAATTGCAACCTTATAGGCAGATTTCAGCTGCAACTAGAAGCTCTCAAAAGCTAGCTCCTAGATTCTTCGGTCCCTACAGAATTCTGAAGAAGGTTGGTGCTGTTGCTTACCGTCTGGAATTACCCTCTGAATCCAGAATTCATCCTACATTCCATGTCTCAATGCTTAAACTCTGTCCAGACCCAAGTGTTAAGCAGAGACATCCACCTATTGACTGGCCAGCAGTCCCTACCACTCTATATCCAGAAAAAATATTAAACAGGAGGGTTGGCAGAAAGAAAAGAAGGATTATTACAGAGGTTCTAGTCAAATGGAAGGGACTTCCTGATGAAGAGGCAACTTGGGTATCATTATTCAGTTTACAGAACCAATTCCCAGATTTCCAGTTATTGATCCTTGAGGGCAAGAATCTTTTGAAGGGGGGGGGGCATTGTTATATTAAAAATATAAGTAGTTAGTTATAGTTAGTTAGTTCAGTTAGTTGATTTCAGGTAGTTTAATGATTCCGTACAGAATTAGCCGTTGGGAGCTAACCTATTTAAAGGGGTTCCTAAATCAATTGTATGTGTGATGTTTTGTTTTCAGTGAATATTCAATCCATTCAGTATTCTCAGTACCTCTCTCTCTCGTCTCTCTGTTTCTCCTACTCTTTCCCTCTCTTTCCTCTTCTTTTTCAAATATCATAACAAAGTATTTGCACATTATTAATCTAAGGTAAATTTATGAACAGGTATAAGTACAAACAAGACATATGAAACCTTTATTAGAGGTTTGCAGGGTAATATCTACATAAAGCGTAATGGAATCAATTACTTGGGTGAAGTTTGGCCTGGACCAGTTTACTTCCCTGACTTCTTAAATCCACACAGTCAACCATTTTGGGATGGGGAAATCAAATTATTTCATAACCTTCTTCCTTTTGATGGCCTTTGGCTTGACATGAATGAGATATCCAATTTCATCACTTCACCTCCCTTTCCATTTTCTAACCTTGACAACCCTCCTTACAAGATAAACAATGCTGGAATCAGGAGACCCATAAATAATAAGACAATTCCAGCAACATGTTTGCATTATGGTAACATCACTGAGTATGATGCACACAACTTTTATGGACTCATGGAGTCCAAAGTAACAAACAAAGCCTTAATTGATGCAATTGGTAAAAGGCCATTCATTCTTAGTAGATCGACTTTTGTAAGCTCAGGCAAGTATACAGCCCACTGGACAGGAGATAATGCTGCTACATGGAATGATTTGGCATACTCAATACCAGCCATCTTAAATTTTGGAATCTATGGAATCCCAATGGTTGGAGCAGATATATGTGGTTTCTCAGGAAATACAAGTGAAGAACTTTGCAGGCGTTGGATCCAGGTAAAATTTCTAGGCTAAATTCATTTATTTTTCATCATTTTGTTATTCTATGAATGATATCTTATTCAAGTGACAGGAAATAGGGAGAAAAAAAAAATGAGAATGTCACTTCATTCATCTGCAGGAGTATGTTCTTTGTTATGGTATTTGGAAAAATTATTTTATTTGCCTCTGGCTCTTTCTTTTATATTTTGAGAGCAAAATGTGGTCATTTTTGAATGAATGGTTGTACTATTGAGTGTGTTGACATTTAATAGTCATATATCTGGATAATAAAGCTCCCTATTAATTCTACTCTACTGTTTCTCTTTCATTTTCATAGTAATTATCTGTATTTTTGAAGCCAAACTATTACATATCAAAAATTAAATTATGCTTTTGATCATCCAACTTTTGATCTTAAATCTTAAATCCTTTTTAAATTTCCACATGCAAGTACTATGAAGCTTCATTCTTTTGTCCTTGCGCAGTTAGGAGCCTTTTACCCCTTTGCAAGGGATCATTCAAGCAAAGATACAATTCATCAAGAGCTTTATATTTGGCCTTCAGTTGCTGCATCAGCTAGAAAAGTGCTTGGTCTTCGTTATCGCCTCCTCCCTTACTTCTACACATTAATGTATGAAGCACATGAAAAAGGGATCCCCATTTCGCGACCCCTTTTCTTTTCATTTTCAGAGGATGTCACTACTTATGATATAAGTTCACAATTTCTACTTGGCAAGGGGGTGATGGTTTCACCTGTGCTAAAGCCCGGAGCAATAACCATTGATGCTTATTTTCCCAGAGGAAGCTGGTTTGACCTCTTTAACAACTCAAACTCAGTGACTGTTGAGACAGGCATGAATGTAAGGCTTGATGCGCCACCAGATCACATAAATGTTCATGTTCGTGAGGGTAATATTTTAGCTTTGCAGGCTGAAGCCATTACAACAAAAGCTTCCCGTAAGATGCCATTCCAACTGCTGGTCGTTATTAGCAGCAGCGAAAATAGTTCTGGACAAGTATATTTGGATGATGGGGACACAGTGGACATGGGGGGAGAGAAAGGACAGTGGACACTTGTAAGATTTAATGGTGGATTATACAATAATAGCGTTTTTGTTGCATCTGAAGTTGCAAATGGGAAGTTTGCTCTTGATCAAGGGTGGATCATAAGTAAAGTAACTTTCTTAGGGATATCTAATGGAAAGAGTTTGAACAGAAAAAGCTGGAAAAACAAACAACTGAGCTTTTTGAAAGGAACAAATACCGAACAGGCAATTGTGAAGGGACAATTTGACAGTTCCAGCCAGTTTATTATCGTTGAAATTTCTGGATTGTCCCTTCTTATTGGAGAGGAATTTGAGTTGGAAGTTGTAGTTCCGTAAGAGGAAGTCTATTAAAACCATAGTATTATGTGGCTATTGTTGTGCATTTTCCCCATGTTTGAACCCAAATAATAATGCTCTGAATTTGTCTGATGATAAAGGTTGCTATCAGAATGGCCATGGAGCTTAAGCTATTTCCTATCCTCAAGTTTTTGTCCATCTAGTAGAGGTGGTCAATACCTGGTGTTTATCCTTACCTTCTATTTCTCCAGTTTAGCGTTGCCTTAAGGATTTGGTTTCATTGCCTTTTGGGCACTTGATTTTTTCATAACATCTCATATATATGGACATAGTGCTATAAAATACTTGACGATGATTTGCACCATGTTTGGGGCATTGTAAAAGGTTGGATGTGATGGCACGTATTGATGCCAAGTATGGTCATTTTATACACGAGAGGAATTTTCCTTTAATTTGAAAATGATTATTATACCCTTTTACAATGATTATTTCACAATGAAGAGTTATTAGATGTTAATGTGATCTAATTGCATCATACAATTCATGTAGCCGAATTGTTTTGCATGAGGCACTCTTGAAATGTTTTCATTCTTACAAAACTTGTCCACATGACACCACCAAAAAAGTGTTCAAAATGCTTGCTCACTGAAAATTAGCATGTACAATCACCTAAAACGTGATTTGCTAACTAATCACTTTTTTGGGCCCTGAACTGAGTTATTTTAGGCTCTGGCTACTTGTTTGAGCATTTATATCCCAAAAACAAAGTTAAAGCTAGATCTAGATATTTTATAGTATGGCAAGTTGCCTTATAACTTGTGGTAGCTAATACGACCAATTTCGATGCTTATCGAAGTATTAAGCACTATAATACTCATGAAATATGAACTCTTTAATATGGACGATTAAAATTTTGATGTTTAATATTTTTGTTTTTCAAAAAACCTTTTTCTTTTCATAGGCATATAATCCAAAATAAATATAATCTCTAGACTATAAGTTTTAAATTTAGACAATTAAAAATATATTCAAATGGTATAGATTTCACAGTAGCGATGAATATCATGGTGCTTATTACTGCGATGAAACTAGTTCCAGCAGGTAGAAGCATCTTTGTTTGTTTAATAATGAAGCTGCATCCCACACTCTACATTATCTTCACAATAGCACTTAGTATCCTAAAGTAACTTATGGTGTAATTTTGCCCTTAAACTATTCTTTAGAAACAATTTTATTCTCATACTTTTAAATAATGCAATTTTAACCTTGCCGTTAACTTGTAAAAGTCTATTAATGGACCCTGTGAATTTAGGGTTGCTCTAAAATATTTTTCAGTAGGTTCAGCATTTTAGAGTAATTTTTTGGTGCAATTTTTGTTCTTAAAGTATTTTCTGAGTTAATCTTTTTCAATCTTCTTCATATTTTTAACGCTCATCTTTCAAATTTCTACTACTTATCTTACACATTTTTAGTAATTAATATTTCAATTTGTTAGTAATCATCTAAAATATTTTTTAAACTTATCTTCCATGTTTTCAACCCTACTTTCTAATGATTTCAATAATGAAAATATGGAAGATAAGTATGGAAAACATTAAGTTAAATTTGCACCAAAAAATTACTTTAGAATGTTGAGTGATACAAAACAAATAATTTAGAATATTGGATACATTTTAACCTTAAATCGTGGGCCCCACTTAACTGGGTTTTTTAAAAGTAGTGGATGACGAGATTAAAATTGCACTAATTCTAAAAATATACTCCTAAAAAATACTTTAAGAACAAGATTACACTATAAATTACTTTATGATACAGAGTGCTATTGCAAAAATATTTTAGGGTGGCCAACCTTTATTCAAATAAGAAATTATACTTTGCTACATAATATTGATACTGGAATCTACGTGACATGTATTGACAGAATGCTACTACTATCTCCAGTTCTTAATATAAAAGCTAGTTAATTAATTTGAGTAGATTAACAAAGTTTATTAAGTTAGTTATTTGTAATAATTAGTTATTGTCTTTTCTAAAATATCATTGCTAATATGTATTAGTTAAAACTATCATTTGATTAAACATTTAACATGTATAACTATTATAAGGATTACTTTAAAAAAAAGATAAATATAAAAAAAAAATAGATACTACTCCGTCCCTTATTATAAGATCCTTTTAACTAAATTGTGCGGTTTAAGAAAACAGTTAAAATTAGTTAAGAGCAATTAATATATAGCAAATATAATTTTTTTTCCAAATATGCCTCTATATATAAATGGGTAGATGTGAGATAGTAATAGTGAAATAAATAAAAAAAAAGAGAATATATTAAATGCATTAAACTAAGGGTAAAATAGATAATAGTGCATTAAATGTTTAGACAAACTCAAAAAGGATCTTATAGAAAAGTTCAAACCTATTCAAAAATTCAGATCTTGTAATAAGAAACGAAGAGAGTATTAAATTAAAAATCAAACTAACTCTTATCTCAGAGACCAGAGATAGTATAAAACACTTGACTAGTGTTATAAAGGAGCCAAGTGCAATGGTAATGATTTGCAGTGTGTTTGGGGCATTGTAAAAAGTTGGGTGTGACGGTGTATATATTGATGCCAAGTACGGTCATAAATTGTCGGAGTTTTCTTTACCCCCTTACACTGACTATTTCACAATGAATTGAATGATATAATTCATGTAACCCACTTCCTTTGTGCGGATGAAACCTTTTTATGTGGTACACTTTTGAGTGGTATTCATTCTTACAAAACTTCGTTCAAATGACGCCTTAAAGGAAAAGAAAAAGGGGTTCAAACTGCTTACTGAAGACAAGAATATAAATCACCTTAAACGTGGTTTGCTATAAATCACCACGTTAATATCAATTTGCCTTTACATTCCTCCACAGAGCTAAATTAAATTCCATTTGCTCCATCGATTTCTCCTTGTGGGAGACTTGAGCAATTAACTTGCACATTGAACAGACACAGATTACTGTACCTAGAACCAAATGACAAATAAGACTAGCTTAAGTTTGAATTCAGAATTGGGATAAATGACCATACGAAATTCGATGTTTTTACTATATCAAACATTAAAATTGGAATTGGAACAAATGACAGCACAAATCATTGTAGTGACGATTTTCTTACTCATGGAATTGAATTGATTACATAAGCTGTTGCTTGCTTTCCAAACAAGACAGCCAGAAACAACCATCTAATATCACACAAAAAGGTGCTCTCACTTTGGATTTCTACAAGCAGGCGCATATTGCTACATCGACATGAAAAGTAAAACAAAAACAAGAAAACTCGGTTAATTCAAACAGATACATATCCATTTCTAGCTTAAAATTACAATTATGTTGACGACAAAAAAAAAAATGCATATCAACTGTCGATTGCCACAAAACTTGTAGAAAGACCAATCAGCTGCAAAATGCTCCAAAGATACAGTTCCTTCGTATATATGCCACTGCTCAATCAAAGGCCTGAAAAAAGTTAAACTGGAAACAAGGATATTCAGCATCGCAATGCATTTTCAATTATGTTTTTAACATATCACATAATCATGCGCGTGGCAATATTCAACAGTCTGCTCACTTCATTGTTACAGGTAAAAGCAATTTGAAAAGGTTCGTTTACACTTTCTGACTCAAGAAACCGCCAAATGGAAAAGAAAAACCAAGAAAAAGAAAATAGCCGAAGTTTTTTGCACCCAGGAATCAACAGGCGGAGCAGGAAACACGTAGTTTCATTGCTGATAGACAGAGTAGATTATTGCTCAGGAAGCTATACACACCAAGAGAACCACTAAGGAAAAAGGCTTTGCAGCAATCAAAGTGGACATGAGAAAAGCCTACAACCGCCTAGATTTGAAGGCTACTCTTTATAGTACTGGTCTTGATGAAATGATTCACCTAATTATGACCTGTACTACTTCAGCTTCTATGAAAGTTTTACGGAATAGAGACTGCTCCAACAGTTTCCAGCCCACACATGGCCTTAGGCAAGGAGACCCCCCCCCCCCAGCCCCTCTTTCTGTGCTACGCATGGAGATACTAGGGAACTTGATCAACAGAGAAGTACAAGCAAGAAGATGGAAAGGCCTTAAATTCAAGTCAAGGGGGCCTACTATCTCTCATCTCTTCTTTGCAGACAACTTGCTTTGTTTGGGGAAGCTAATACCGACCAGATTGATGTTATGAGATACAGTGCAACAGTTTTGTCCTGTTTCTGGTCATCAGATCAATCGGGCTAAGTCTAGGGCTTTTTTTCTCTAAGATTGTTAACTTTCATCGAGCCAGTGAGATGTGTCAGCAGGTGGATATTATTGGGATTACCGCTGATCTTGGCCAATACCTTGGCGTACCTCTGCTTCACAAGAGAATGACTAAAGCGACCTTTCTCCCTCTTATTCACCAAACCAAGCAACGTCTGGCTAGATGGAAAGGTAATTTTCTCACTGTCGCAGGGAGAACAGTTTTTTAATCAAATGTGTTGTCTGCTTTGCAAAAAATGCTTCTCAGGTAAAATGTCTTAAAAGAGATTGAGAAAAATAGTAGATGCTTCTTCTGGAATCAACACCAAACTGGCAGGAAAATGCACTTAATTGCTTGAGATATGATTAAGCAAGATGAAGGTGAGGGTAGTATGGGAACTAAAGACCTTTGAAGCCAAAATATAGTTTCCATCATGAAGCTTTGCTGGGATTACTCACCAAGCCATACGCGCTCTCTAGCTACAGTGCCTGAAAGCCAAGTATGATTGTGGAGAAAAAGTTCATTCTATTGTCACTAGTATGGAAGAGCATCTCTGCTGCGTGGGACAGTTTTTGCCACTCGTTTACTTGACCCATGTGCTTCGATTAGGTCCCTTGTTCTTGAAAATGGATGCTGGGACATCCAAAATTTAAGGAAATTTCTGCTGCAGGGGGTTATTTTTATTGTTACACAGTTGAATCCTCCAGCTGGAGAGGAGTCTGACAGGTTTTGCTGGAGGAAAAGTAATGATGGAAATTCAGTGCCAGAGCAGCCTACAAGTTGGCGTCTAGCCAAAACAGAAATCAATATCCAGGTCATTGGAAGAAGATATGGAAACTTCTATCATCTATTCAAATTTTCCACAAGAGAGGCTTCCTACAAATTCCCTCAGAGTTCAACGTGGAATCTCTACTAGTGAGAAGCACCCTTTTGAGTGTTAGAGGATGGAAGATGTTATTCATATCCTTTCCGATTGCCAGGGGGCCAGAAATGTATGAATTAAAATTGTTTAACCCAACAATCTTCTGGATTTTTTTGGTTCTAATTTGCAGCCTTGGCTGGAAGCAAATATGAGAAAGGAAAAAGGGAATGCCTCAGCAGATGGCCCTAGTCCAAGGTATTCAGATTAGTTTGCTGGTTACTTTGGAAGAACAGATGCAACAGTATTGTGAGAGGTACTAGGATCCCAGCAACTGGCATCATCCATGCTTGCGTGTGTATGATGGAGTCTACAGAACATGGAAGATATAGACACCAGGTGTTCAATCTCACTACAACAACAGAGAGAAATTGGCAACCTCCAGATGGGGACTATGTTTGCTTTGACATTGTCGATTCAGTTGATGGCCAAAAATAAGCAGCTAAGCTTTCTTCCACCTACTTCAGCAGGAGTTATGGGAATACTGACTGTATCACAGGTTTGCAAACAACGAAACTTTCCAAAAGCTGTTGCTTACACTGATTCCTTGGAAGCTCTACATGTGATCATCAGTATGTGATCATCTATGATCAAGGAAGCCAGCACCCGCTGGGATCAGAGATTAGTGAAATCAGGGTTATGGTTTACTCAGATTCGGATGCGGAGATTAGACATGCCCCAGGGAGTCACTTCGATATGCCAATTTCTTAACAAAAGAGGCTCACTTTTTGATTGAGGATTATGTTGTTATGCAGCAATATCCAACTGGATGTTTAGAGATACTAGCGACAGATTAATACATGGCTCATATTGTTATAAAGCCATCTAGTCTGATGTAATATTCAAGTCTTTGTACTTTCCCTTCCAGGGGGAAAAATCCTAGCTGAGTCCTAGGTTGGTTCAAACAAATAACAGTAGCAATGACAACCTTACCTGAAACAAAATATTTCAGTCATTACAACAAGCACATCACATAAATTTTATTTTGAAGAGTTACCATTGTCCAGTTAAGCTGGCTCTGTTATTCTATGAAAGATGAATCAAACCAAAATCAGGAATCCCTTTTTCTAAGAGAAACATGTTATTATAGTGAAACAGGTAGAGCTAAGTTATGAATTTATTTCATCTCCCAGCAAGCGCCTCAATCAAGTGAATTGAAGAAGCAAGATAGAGAATTAAGGATATGTTAAAAAAAAATTTTCCTCCCGTTAATATTCAATTATGAGCCTCTGAATATTATTGATATTTCATGAAGACAAGCCAAACTAAAATCAAGCATCTTTTTTACAAGCGACAGCAGGATTATAGCAACAAAGGTACAGCTTAATTATCTCATTTGAAAGCAAAACAATTATGTCGAGTAGAGGAAAAGAAGCAGTATCAAGAAATATTTCATCTCTAATGCACGTAAGATTTGCATGCATCAGCATTAAAGTTAAAAATATGAATACAGCTGTATTACCTCAATTTAGGGTTACGGTCAATTGAATAGAGTGATGATTTCAAATGCAAACATGCTTCAGAGTATGTTAGCCTTCCCAGGTGAGCAATCGATTGTGCTACTTTACAAGTTAATTTATTGAACAGCATCAGCCCCAAATCTTTGCACCAAGAATTCATCCAACTGACCCCAATTTGGGGTATCAGATTTACCCAAATCACCTGATGGTAATGATCGGATGCATTGAAGAATGTGTTTCATGTCCCGATATAACCTGGCAAGTTAGGGGAATTATAATAAAAGAAGACAGACAAATTTTTAACATGCAACGATATAATTTGTAAACTTAAATACCTATCCTTCGCTTGAGGAGTGCTTATATCAAATTTTGAGAACGCTTCTGAAATTTGTGAGTGGAATATAATGACCACTTGCCTGTAAGATAGAAAGTTGTAGAAGCAAGTTTGAGGAAATTCTTTAATGTAAAGCTAAAATCTATTATTCCAGACTGATTAGATGGAGAAATTGAAGGAACTTCATAAAGATGAGAATTGAGGGCATTCATTGACACATGCAAATCAAACACACACATATGCAGACATGCATGCACCATCTTTTCATTTCAAGATACTTTTCAATGTAAATAAATCTTGTAATTGAATGCAACTTGCAAGTTATTATTCAGATATAAAATTCAAATACATGATAAATATCACAATTTGACAACTATGATTGAGTATAAACTCCACATTATATGTACAAGAATCAAGAAAAATGAGACTTTCAGAGCATTTTACCTGAATATTGCTTCAACATCAACTTCGTTCAAAGTTCGAGATAGAACTCGTTGGAGGTATCCAACTTCCTAAAAACAACAAAATAAACAAGTCACAATTAATTGACCGATTGGGAAAGTGTTGCGGGATAATGGCATATCAGATATGATGTTCAAACAAACTGCCAGACCCAGTTAAAACTCACTCTGAATTTGACAGATGAGTTTGTTTATCAAATTTGCAGATGCAAATTAAAACCATTTATGAACAAAAGGGACAGTTATAAAAGTGATGCTCACGAAGGAACTGACAGAAAATAGAATATGCAAAGAAGCTTCAACTATCCAGAGACAGAAGGACCAAAATCAACAAGGCTAGGAACAAAATTGAGAGAATGCATGGTCAGCTGATCTGTTTTCTTGCAGTAAGTTACCTTCGTAAGGGATCGAGCAAACTGGCTGGGCTGAGTATCAGCATCCTCAGGTCTATTCCAACTCTCAACAATTTGAGGCAACACACGCAAATGAACCAACAATCTCTCTCGCATTATCTGAACTAATTTAGTATGTATTTCATCTCGGTGGATTTTATAATCCTGGAATGGTTAAAATTGATTATAGTAATAACTAAATGGCATAAATAGAAGATATTATTGCTTCTGGAACAGTTACATATCTTTGTAAACAAAATAGGGAATTGTTAATGAAATAGAACTGCACACAATTTTCAAGAGAAACTGCAGCACGGGTCCAATACATCTACATTTCATTGTTATTATTATACCATTGAGCACCATTCTGCTAATAAAACACTTGACCTTAACCAGAGTTTACAATTTTACAAATCGATTTGTCAAGAAAAAACCTCACCCTATGAGTATTAGGAAGATGAATAAGATTCCAAAATAAGACTCACACTCCACAAACATAAGTGCGCATGAAATTCCATTCTTTAGATCTTCAAATAATGTGATGAAAAATGGGAGCAAATAATGAGATGTTTTCCATAGATGGGGAAGTTAAAATGCCTGGCAGTAAGGATTCCAGCTATTTATATCTTGATTAAAGAAAATTCTAGTATAATCTCGTAAAAGCTATATTGTTACTCTTTATCATTCAGATTTTATGGGAAAAAAATAAAATTTTGATGGTATAAAATTTAAATTAATAAAATTGTTTGATGGATCAATCATGCAATAACCTCTAGGCAGATATTTATGGATGAAGCAAAGTTACGTTTGTTTTTAATTAGAGGCTAAAAAATTGCTCCGATGAGCCATTTATCTTCCTTCTTTAACAGCAGGAAATCAAGCGTAGAACACAATAAACTCCTAGAGATAATTACAAGTACAAGACTTCTAGATGATCATAAACTAGTAGGCCTTTAACTCTTCCACTTAGCTTCTAACACTTGTCCTACAATGAGTTATGGTTCTTTCCCCACACTCCTTAAGATTAAGAATTTCAAAGCTTCGAGTTTTAACTATGAAATCACTATCTACTCATAGAAATACACTCACATGCCTAATTTCAGAGCTTCGAGTTCTAACAGATATAAAGAAGATACCTGGGCCACTCGATCAATCTCTAAAAGCAATAATGCCTTCCTTGTCTCAGGTACTTTCAGAAAAAGAACCTGCCGAATTTCTGATACCAGAAACAAAGACTAAAGTCAGTATGTTAGTCCAATAAACTACATCTCATATAACAAGCTCCTATAGAAGAACCAATCCACTTAAAAGTTTCTTTCACCATAACATAAAAATTAAAATAAAAAGTTCAACTTTTGTATGTGCATTTATACCAGGAATAATAGCATATATAAAACTTATGACTTGACTGGCCAAGGCCAAGTGTTTAGAAGTGATAGACTTCAACCCAGAAACCTGCATAGAAATCAAAAGCCAAAACAATGGTAAGCATCCAAAAGGACTGAAGTGGAATCACAAGAAGAAAACAAAGAGACAAGAAATTGGGAAGCTGAGAAGACATCGAGGTAGCAAGAAAGAAATAATAATGGTTATGAAAACTGGACTTGATTGATCAGTTTGACCAGAACGCTGGCCCATGGGCCAGTCCAAAATAAAAGGAAAACAAAAAAGTTCATGATGCAGTGAAACTGGTTGCAAGCTGGTAAAAAATGGTTCTACTTGTCTATTCACAATTCATGAATCAAATAATTACCATATAACTGCATAATAGCATGACAGATGATCCACATTATTTTTGACAAGGTAAAAGTTTACTCAGTATTCAGTTGGATGTAGTATAATAATATATCATCTGAAAAATAAGCATTCAAAACGCTCAAAAGTTTTGATATTATTTTTCCTCTTGTGCAGGATAGCATGAAAGCAAGACCGCCTGGCTGAAGTCTATAATTGCCTAACTCAATGCAAAGATCAGGATACATATACAGACACCCACACACACAGATGTATATATATGAAGTTTTGGCATCACGGATCCACAGAGAAGGTGTTGATATCAGATCAAGGGTATAAGATTTTTCTGCAAGGCAAAAATCTTTTATTTTAGCATTTTGGCATCAAAGAAAAATGCGAATCAGATTTCAAATTAAAGAAGGGATGCCTATCAATATCTTGTTTTGATTGTAATGTGAAGAACAGGGGCCTCAAGACGTTGATATCAGATCATGGGTAAAAATGTTGCTGGGAGGCGAGGCTCTCAAAAGACAGGACTCATATCAAAAAGCCAATCACACAAAAATGAATAGTTGAGCTCAAACTAGAGTAATAAAATAATGGCTGCTGCGGATTGAAGAAGAGGTCTTTATGGCTTCTTTCTTTACATATAGGCCCCGTTTGGCATGCTGGACTGAATTTCAAGGGAATGGGATTGGGTTCTAAAATAATGTTTGATATGGTATGGAAATTTAAAAAAAAAAAAAAAAACGGAGAGAGATCAAACCCAAAAAAAGAGTAAAGGACACAGCTGCCCTCATCTCCTTCCCAAGTCCAGAACAAGCACAAAAAGAGGCCGTTCGGAACTCCAGCTGCATTTTGTGAGTCCACTGCATACTCTTAGCTTCAAATCATTTTGATCAGCACATGAAATTGACATTAGAATGAATTCCTTATCAAGCGACAACTTTTATGTGACAAGTCCAATTTCCTTAATTGCTTCAAATGTTGCCCCAAAGTTGCAAGCATCCATGACTCTCTCTCTTGCCACATCGCAATTTATTAGTGCCAGCTCTTCAAGCCCAGAAGAGGCCGTTGATGTCCCACGAAGCTTTAGTCATTCCCATGACAAGACAGCAATTTCAAAGCAGTGGGCTTAAAGGAACTCTGAAATTCAAAGAAAAAGGAGGCTTCATGAAGCTCCATGTACTACTCGATCCTCTCCCTCTCTCAAATCTAAATGGACCATTCTTCCTTCATTTGCTATCAGTTCTTAACTAGTGTTCTTTGATGTAGACCAAAAAAGCCTTCTTCAAGAGAGAACTAAAGACAATGGCAAAGGGAAGACATCGCTGACGGTGGAGGGAAGACGTCGCTGGACCTGGTTTGAAGGCTTGAGCAAGGACGTCACCGTAGATCAGCAGAAGACATCATGGGTTAGGGAGGAATGAAATGAATGTAATGAGAGGTCGGGAATGGGGTAAGGGGCAATTTTGTCTGGAAAAATTCAATCCCAGGACTGGTTTCTTAGTACAAGGGAGGTTAATGGTATTGAGAAATCCCATGAAATATGGTAATGTGCAATCCCGGGATAGCTGAAGGTCTCGTACCAAAAATAACAAAATAGACAATCCCCATACCAATACCAGCCCTTCCAATGCTTGGTACCAAACATGGCCATGATGTAAGAACAATGAAAGCTTGGATACTGATTATAAGAACTTCACAGACTAAACAACAGAAATTGAACTAGCCACGTTCTTTACTCAGCACCAGCAGATCTTATAAAATTAAATAGGAGAGGTTGGATGAACGTAAATGAGTCTAGCGACATTGCAATCTATTTTAACGTCAACCAAAATACTGATAGAACAACTGAAGAACAGCTGGGCATGCTGAAGGTCCAAGCAAGTGAGGGATCCTATAGAAGCCACAGATCTCTACTCAACATATCACACCAGCAATGCCCTTTTTCTAGCTATTTGAATTATGATACTCCAAGGTTCCTTTCTCCAATTTCAGCAATTATCAATTTGCAATATAAAATCCAAAGCACACTGCACTACTCATAAACTGTGAACAACGCAACTCATCTCAAACTCCACACAATGCATAGAACAGTGTCTAGATAGCTGACCATTTCATGGATAAAAATAACTATATAAGACTACAATTAAAAAAAAAAAAAAAAAAAAGAGTCCTCCAAGGAACCAACTAAAATAATTTACCCCCGGACAAAGAATCATCTGAAAGTATACGTTTCTTCCCTAAATAAATAGCCCAACCCCAAAGCCCTAAGAATATCCTTCCCGCAATCCCCACGAGACATTTACATGAGCACTGTATAAACAGGTTATAAGATTCTTTTGGAAAAAGGGGGGGGGGGGGGAAAAACACTAAAAGGTAATGCAAATGAAAACATAGAGCAAGGAGAACAAAGTGGACAAAAAGAATTACGACTTCAAAAAACAAAAACAAAAGTTCACAATGTTCGTCTAGCAATTTTCTTCTCTAAGCCCAAAAACAAAAAGGAAAAGAAAACTCCGAGCATACATAATAAGTATTAGGTCAATAAATTTCAGAAATATCAATCTTGTTTGATATTAAAATTATTTTTATTTTATCCTAGGACAATTTGGATTCCTTGTTTTTTTTAAATTAGGATTAGGATTTTAGTTGTAATTGAATTTAGAATTTATAATATTTTTTAAAACGATTTTTTTAAAATTTGAGAGTAAGGGATCTAGTATTATATCATCTAGGATTTTAGTTATTTTATCCTATCTTTTAGGATTTATTAGATTTAGGTTAGATTGGATCATATCAGGTTACTATTTTAATAATTTTAGCTAAGGTTCTTAAAAAACCCATAGGTTCTCGCAATTGTTAGACCTTTTGATGACTTGAACATGGTGCAAGTATCTTTCAGGCTCTCCCTGTTTTCTTTCTATTTCCCATACTTTCTCTTCTGTCTTTTCCCCTTTTCCATCCTTGTTTCACATCACATAGTTTACACGCAATTCAAACCAAGAGACAAACGACTTCTATGTACTGGTTTGCATTTTTGTCCATATTACCTGCATAGCACCAGCCCCAAGAACGAGTTGACAAGTTCGTGTGTTGAAAAATTTCAAAATTTCAACAACTCGATGAACAACTTCTGAAGATAATGCTGGCAAAAAGTTGTTGACATCAATGTACTCTGACAACATCTTCAACAATATTAAGCCACTGCAAGAAAACAAGCGAACTAAGAATATTCCATGTCTAAATTCACAATCAACAACACCAGAAGAAAAAGTCACATATCATTAAGAAAACATATCGCCCTCAAGAACCGACAACTTCACATTAAGAATAAACCAATGTCATATAGTATACAAGTAATTAGAAAAATGGATACTTGTAGAAATTTTTAGAGAAAACAAGAAAGTGACAGATCACACTATTAAGAAAATACAGGAATGGAAGATATGCAAGGGAGGATAAAGTAGATACAAGATAACCAACCAGTTCACCATGTGATAATTAACTCCTTTGAAGTAAAGAGTTTGAGACGCAGATTTTTTATGATCCTTTGAGTCTGTATTATTAGTCTGTGCTGATGAGTTTCTGCTGTGAGTTCTATGTATTGTGGCATTTTTTGCAGATATCTCAATAGAATTAGTTTGCTCAACTTGCTGTTCCGCATTTGACTGTCCAGTGTTTGCCATTGGCAGAACATTATTGTCTGTCACCCCATCATCATAATTTTTTGAATTATCATCCTCAGCACCATCAAGATTCTCAGAAGTCAACGCATCAGAAGAAAATAGCACATTGACGATAGATTGAAATTCATCAGGAACGTCTATTTCCACCCATGTTTCTTGGTCAAGCACTGCCTTAATTTTTGCCATCTAAATGGGACAAAGCAAAATGAATTAAGCAGATATTCATGAAGATTTCATAAGCACAAAGCAACAACCAATACCAAAACTAACCCGGGATTCGTGTTGAAAATCAACAAAAGCTTTTGCCTGTGACTGCAAGGTTCCGCGGATGCTATATCCCAATCTCCCACCAACCTTTTATAAAAAGAATGGCAATCGCATCATAAACAGAACCATTCAATCTACACACTTCCTGTTCAATATGAAGAAATGAATGCGTACTTTTTCTGTAGCTGTAATGAACTCTTGGGTTATGTTGAATATTGCAAGAAACTCCTGTAATCTCAACTTAGGATGCAGGACAGCACGAACGCCAAGAAGTTTTGCCCATCTTCCATGAGCAGCATCGCATGCTGCAAAGACAGCTTCTGTGTTCTCTCGCAATACATCAGCTCTGTTTAGGATGAGATTCTTTGAGAACACCAAAAAAAATTGGAGACCAGTTTGATTAAAGGTTAAAAACAGTGGAAGAAAATTTGATCTAACTTAGAAATTCACTTTTCTTCTTTGCTTACAGACATTGATAGCTTTAAGTTGCATAAACAAATTGTTTCCTGCTTTAGTTAATAAAAATTCAGTTTCTATTCCTTGCGAAATCTGTCAGTTGTCCAAACACTTACTCGAAACACTCTTCGCATTCCCATGAATTCTCTCAACCTTTTTCACTCATACATAGCGATCTTTGGGGACCCTCACGTACTCCCAACCTAACCCGAACAAAGTGGTTTGTCACGTTCATAGATGATCACACACAAGTAACCTAGGTGTTTTTACTCAAAGACAAATCAGAGTTGACACAAACCTTTCTAAACTTCCATAAAATGATACAAAACCAATTCAAAGCCTCTTTAAAAATCTTGCGCAGTGACAATGGGACTGAATATACGAACTCCAACCTCCAATCTTATCTTAAACAGCACGGTATTATATATCAAACACGTTGCGTCAACTCTCCTCAACAAAATGGTACAGCAGAAAGGAAGAATAGACACCTCTTAGATGTCACCAGAGCCCTTTTACTGACCAAAAACGTTCCAAAGTTTTACTGGGAGAAGCCATACTTACTGCCACTCATCTAATTAATCGACTGCCCTCAAGGGCCTTAAACTTCAAGACCCCAATACAAGTCCTATCCGAAAGCTATCCCACACCTCACTTGTTTGTCACTATTCCTTGGGTGTGTTGCCTATGTGCATAATGATACTGGGGGAAAATTAGATCCTAGAGCACACAAGTGCATTTTTCTTGGGTACTCTAGTTCAAAAAAGGGGTACAAGTGCTATTCCCCCACTCTCAAAAAAACCTTTGTCACAATGAATGTCACCTTCGATGAACATCAAAGCTACTATTCCAAAACACCCATTTAGGGGGAGAGTGAGCAAGAATGGGAGATTTTGGACCTGTCACAACATGAAACAAAACCTACTCCTAACCCCACAGTATCACCTGCACCAAACCTCACGGTTTTAGCCCCTGCAGAAATAGAAACCACCCAAAACCATAGTGACCATGATATTGAAGGAACGGGCGAAGAGCCACATACAGAACCTGAAATAAGACCTAACTCGCAGCAGTATGACTCCTCTAGTACTGAGCAACGTCCCTCATCAACTCAGGCTCCAAATCTGGATGAACTTGGTTGGCCCATTGCTTTGAGAAAAGGGGTAAGAAGGTGTACTCAACATCCTATTAGCCAATTTGTGTCTTATGATAAACTGTCTCCTAGTATGCAAAGTTTTGTTACTTGTCTGAATGATGAACAGCTGCCAACCAGCTTTGAACAAGCTGTTCGTGATCCTCACTGGAAAAGAGCTATTGACGAAGAACTTAATGCCTGGCACAGAAACCAGACCTGGAAAATTATTCAACTACCAAAAGGTAAGAAGACAGTTGGATGTAAGTAGGTCTTTACAAAGAAATACAACCCTGATGGTACAATCAATAAGTATAAGGCACGGTTAGTGGCAAAAGGGTATTCATAAACCTATGGGATAGATTATCAAAAAACATATGCCCCAGTTGCAAAACTAAATACCATCCGAATACTCCTATCTCTAGCAGCTAATCTAGATTGGCCCCTTCACCAACTAGATGTGAAGAATGCCTTCCTCAACGGAGATCTGGAAGAGGAAGCGTATATGGAAGTTCCTCAGGTACTATCAGAAAGAAATATGCCTAGAGTTGCATGTAAACTTTACAAATCACTCTATGGGTTAAAGCAATCACCTAGAGCATGGTTTGAGAGATTCACCAAAGCAGTCAAGAAAGTTGGATTCAGTCAGTGCCAAGCTGATCATACCTTATTCGTCAAGCATTCAAAAGGCAAGATTGCTGTCCTAATTGTGTATGTTGATAATATTATCCTAACAGGTGATGATACTGTTGAAATCTCAAGTCTTAAAAAGTCCCTAGAAAGAGATTTTGAAGTAAAGGATCTAGGTGGCTTGAGATACTTCCTTGGTATGGAAGTAGCTCGATCGAGAGAAGGAATTGTTGTTTCTCAGAGAAAGTACACGTTAGATCTCCTAAAGGAGACCGGAATGTTAGGTGCCAAACCAGCTGACACTCCAATGGAACTAGCTCACAAGCTGGACAACAGGAAGAAGTTGAAGAGATAGAAGAAAATACTGCTGAAATCTCCAGTGATAAGAAGAAGAAGAAGTCTGAAACAAAAACAAGATCAACACCTGTAGATGCCGAGAGATACAAGAGACTGGTAGGCAAACTCCTCTATCTCTCACATACCCGTCCAGATATAAGTTATGCAGTTGGGGTAGTGAGTCATTTCTCAAATGAACCCCTAGAGGAACACATGAAAGCGGTATATCGAATACTAGAATATTTAAAGATGACCCCAGACCGTGGACTGTTCTTTGCTAAAGGGAAATCCAGAGAACTTATTGTATATACAGATGCAGATCATGGGGGCTTTCTACTAGACAGGAGGTCCACCTCGGGTTATTGCACTATGGTTTGGGGAAATCTCGTTACTTGGAGAAGCAAGAAACAGACGGTGGTATCCAAAAGCAGTGCAGAAGCTGAATTGAGAGCAATAGCACATGGTGTTTGCGAGGGGCTATGGATAATTAGAGTCCTAAAGGAACTACGTCTTGCTCCTACTGCACCTTTTCAGCTAAGAAGTGACAGTCTTTCAGCTATTGGAATGGTAAGAAACCCCATCCATCATGAACGAACAAAGCATGTGGACATTGATAAACATTTCATCAAAGAAAAAGAAGATGCAGGAATTCTCAAGATCTCTCATGTGTCATCACACCATCAAATTGGAGACCTCTTCACAAAGGCCCTACCTAGACCGTTGTTTGAAGAGTTCAGAGGCAAGTTGGGAATGATAGATATCTATTCGCCAACTTGAGGGGGAGTATTGATATGGGCCGAAGCCCATTGAGTAATTCAGTCATTAAACTAATATATTATTCGGTCCATAGATCTCGGTTAGCATCATTAGGTTTTTATTGTGATTATTCTTTTCTGATCAGATTGATTTGGTGTAATTTAGATTGATCCTGTATCTTATCTTTTAGCACCCACTAAGCCGTAAGTCTGTAACTATAAGTATGCTGGTTTTCGTTGAATAAAATAGACTTTCCGGTCAATTCTTCTTCAAGGAGCAACTTGTTAATAGCAAAGACAGTTCAGTACTGGAAATGGATCCTGAAATCCACTAGGAAAGAAAATGATTAGTGAAGCACCAGATCAGTAATACATTCTCAGCTCAAAATGTAGAATGGGGCTCATAATCCCAAAGGAGATATCGAAACTAAAGAGAAAATCCCAATTCCATTTAAAAAAAAAACAAAAAAAAACAAAAAACAAGAGAGCCTGAAAATTGAAGAAACTTCAAGGCTTAGAAACAAGATCCAGATTTAACCTGAAATGTGTCGATATGTTTGATGGGTTCACTGCATCACTTGCTTTTCCTGGAGTAGGAAGAACCCTGGAAACTAGTTTTTGAGATGAATATGGTGAAATTGTAACACCACGACCTTCATTTTCTTGAGCTGTTTCAATAGCTGCAGCACCATGCGCAACTGCAGCAGCAACTGTATCAGCAACATAATGACCATCAAGGTTGCTCAAAATCCACTCAATGGCCTTTTTCACTTCAGCTGCCCGCATCAAATGTGCCTGCAATCACTAAAAGTAAACAAATCTTATTCCACCGCTCTTAAATCATGACATAGTAAACCAATATCTTAGTGATTTTCAGTAGCATTTCATCAAGAATAACTGCCTATTAAAAATGCCAAGCATTTAACACTATAATTTGTTGATATCAGCTAATGCGATTTGAACAGTTTCAATGCACATCACCATATGGGAAAAAATGATCGTGAACACATTTTGAGGTCTTAGGTTAATATAACGTAGAACAATACATGAATCTTATTGAGTATAAATCACAATGGGTAACACTGAGTCAGTCAAAATTTTCATAGGAACCTCTATGACAGCAAAATGCAGACCAGAGGCAATATAAAAACGAAACAACCTAAACTATTGGCAGAAATACAAACATCATCTGAAAAAAAATAAAGATAGAATAAAACAGATATATGTAACCCTCTAGACTGTTGGAAGAGACATTGGACAGCCCGAGGTTGTGATGGATAAGTCTGGTGTCGAGAGAAACACACCCATTAATACACAAGAAACTCAACAAAAACTGACATATACTGGTCTTGGCTTTACCATAACTCTAATTAATCTATGTTATTCTTTCTACTATAAGGTCAGTAAACCCTCTTATAAGGGTTCCATTTGGTCTATAAATACATATAAACGGAATTAGACCATCAGTATTCTCCCCTCTCCCAAGATATGAATATCTTGAGTGTCCAAGACAAATAAGTGATTGTAGAAAGAAGGGAAGAGATTTGAGTTTGCATTTCTTTTTTTGTAGATGAGGCCTCTCACTAATTAAATAATTTTGGACTTTGCTGCAGTCTCAGCAACCATGAAGAAGATCTTCTAGGCATGCATGCATCCACCTTTCTACTGAGTCCAGGTTTTAGCATTAGAAGACAGACATCTTCGTACATAAAGAGCACATTGTCCTAATTAAGAAATTTTAGCAAACTATAAAATTTCAAAACCAAGATGCCTGGACTTCGAAGACCAGACAAAGGTTCTGTAGTTTGCCTGTCAAAGTTGAAGATGATTCATTGATCAGAAGATTCTATGGCATAAAATTCAGTTTCACAACAAACCGTAATTACTTTTGCTCAATTTACATTGCATAATAGCTTGCTCTTTTGTTCCTGCTCTCAATTAACCAGCCAGCTCAACGCATCATATGAAAACTTGACTCCAGCAAATTTTATCAAAACTCTTCATCATGCATATCAACTTCTCACGCCAGATAAGTAACCTTGCTCTTTAGAAACTCATCATTCCATCCATTGAACTTCATCTTAACCTAGCCAGCACTCACTCTGTTTCTCATTATAACTAATACAAACGAGTGACATTGCACTTCATCCCTTGTCAGCAGGTACAATCACTCCATCTGCACCAAGCCCCAACCTAGCCCATCCTATATGATCTTAATCTAGTCACATTTTCATAGAGGCTATGTTGCATTGGTATGCAGTAAGTATGGGCATACAATTTAAATTCATATATATAGGCAAGATATGTTTATGCAAGACATTACATTTACACACACAAAATTAGAGTTGAAATGTTATAACAAAATTACGGTTTAACTACCAACTTTTCAGGTTTCAATAAGAAGAGAATACAATTTTTTTAATCAAAGTGATAATATAAATAGCATATATTAAGTTACCAACATAGACATTTATCCTATGGATGCCATAGTGCCATGTTGAACAATAAGAAAACAAATAAGTATATAAATTTACAAACATCAAAACACAATTAAAAAAGAAGCGCAAGAGCAAAACAACAGTGTCTAGTTTAGTTAAATAAATGCTTTTACACTTCACTTCACTGTTAAGCTTGTATGTACATCTGACACTCGTTTGAAAGCACATTGTACAAAGTGCTACGCTAATGCGTACAAGAAGTGATAAACACCCACTCCCCACGTTACTAAATTAGATTTCAAAAGTTGCATGGATATGTGTGTAGATGGACATGACCATGGCCAAGAACAAATTACCTGCACTACCATGAAAATAGCACTCAGAAGGTGCACAAAGCAATCAGATGACAAGCTCCTCAACTTACTAGCAAGGGATGCACCTCCACCTGAATCACTAATAAGTTGAAAATGGAGCAGACGACAACAGAAAACAGCGCTTGGTAAATGAGTAAGAGACTCTCACCATCAGAATCTACTACTCTATCTTTAGAAGAATATTCTGTATCCAGAGGTCGGGTAGCAAGAACTGGAAGCAGATCAGCAACTGCAGACTTAATGGCACTCTTCATCTCAGCAGTCAATGTATCTCGATAGATTCGCAGAACAGAGGGAAGTTTGGCCTGAAAGAAACCATCAAAACACATCATCTTAAACAGATTAAGCCAAAAGTAATAAATCATATTTCTTGATAACCAGGTACAAGAGCCAAGTTTAAGCAAGAACGAAAAGAGATACCAATGACATGTCGAAATGTTTCTCACAATAGCAATAACAAAGCATCAATAAAGAGCATATAATCACTTAAAATCCATAATCCATTGAATAAAAAATGGTGACACCCAAAACACACATCTAGAATGGTGTAGAAAAGACAACAATAGGAGCCACAACATTTAAACAGAACCTTGTCTGTCCATGTTATGAAATCTATGCAGCAAAGAGCTGTGTAACATAAAGGAACAATGAAAGGACAATCCATTTGAAAAATGGTTCAGACACTTTTCTATTGGATTTCACAACCTTTCAGATCTCTCCTCAGAGGTTTTATATAAAATACACCTCTGACGAGAGGTTTTATAAAAAATACAACCTCTGAGGAGAGAACTAAAGTTACATTATCATTAAAAATGGAATAGGAGATGATATCCTGAAATAGAACAGAAAAACACACGCTGCATTGTCTTGGTAAAAGATTTCTACGATATCAACCAAAGACTAAGGAAAATTTGCACTTTGATGTCCATAACACCAAGTGAAATTCCAACTTTGTTTCCAGTGTTCAAACAGAAAATTGGCAAACTGGGTCATCTTCATTTATGCATTACTGCAGTCAGAGAGAAAGTGACGTAGGAAATCGTGGCTATGTATGGGTTCTAGATCTTCCAATTACAATCATCCCCTTTTTTCCTCTTCATCTCTCTCCAAACGCATCACAAAACTCTACATTCACTAAAGTGAATGTAGCGGCTCCGGGATGGATGATTAGACCATACTCAAGCTTCCGCAACACCATGCAGAAATACGAATTATAAATGCAAGGAACAGTTTTCCAAGCAAACACAAATTACTCACTGTTCTAAGCAATCCAATGACAGTGGGAAGAAGACGGTCCCTAAAGTTGCTTGTTTCTTCTTCATCAAACTTTAGCTGGTTGAGAATTAGATCCAAATGTTAGTCCACAAATTGCATCCACAACTTCCGTAAATGACATAAACAAAAAAATGAGACAGGAAAGCAGTAGGCAGAGGTAGATCACAGATGGTTAATCATAAATCATACTACCATACATTGCTAAACTCCATGACGCTCTAAACCACTCATACTCAAAGTAAATGCCAACGCCAGACTACTCAATTAAATCAATGGGGGGGGTTTCCTAAAATTAAAGCATTAAGGATTAACATATGTGACGCCTGAAGATTACACTGTCATGCACAACCTAAAAAGAATTAAAAAGAGCCACTATTCCTAACATTATTCTTAAACCGAATTAGCACAAATTTTGAAAAACTATTGCTCTGGCAATTATAATGGGGGTCAAATATATGAACAGACTGCCAGTAGGAGGATACCCTGACTTCTGCATATTATGTATCTCAGTTAGGGTTGCTAGTCACAGCACAAAAGTTTCAGCATTGTATAAATTGTATCATAAAGAGACGGGAGAAAACATTGTTGAAAGAGACGCCCCAATATTCCACATGATCACATCAATGAGCGGGCATTATTTCTGTGAACAAGTCTCACATCCATGCAGTCTAGCAGGAAAAGGAGCTACTACTGCTCCAGTCATCGATTGACAAGAAAGAACAGCCCTTTTGACCATATGTTGTTTATAGACAAAAAAAAAGAAAAAGAACTCTTGTAGGAAACAGTAGTCCACTAACAAAATATGGCAATCATGCCACAAGAGTTCACAGAAAATAAAAGCAAGAAAACTAAGGTTAAAACTACTTAATATATAAAAGTAATTTAAGTACATAATCTTACTTCACCAATTCCATTCATGGGAAGGGAAGCACTCGCTTTAGCTTTGGATAAAATCATTGCATCTCTTTCTGCAGCATCATGTATGGAAGCTCGAATAAACTCTGCTGAAAGAATACTACAGAAGCAATACAATCTGTTACTAAATATGCAATGTGGAGCACCATTTCTTTGCTTGCACAAAAATGAGATACATATCTAGTAACATACCCTGACTATCTCAATGAACATAAGATGCATCAGAACATCAGATGATGAAAAAAAATAAAGTTTGCAAGTTTTATTCCAATAACTTTTTGAAAAGATTGTTTCATTCTTAATGACAAGACTCATACTTCCTCTGGAAACTGCTCCCAAGCCTCAGATAAAAAACTGTTGTCCATATCAATTATTCAACAAAGATTAGAAATTTTCAAGTGATACTTACAGATAATCCGTTGAAGTTTAAGGCTCTCCAAACATTAAACACTTTGTCATATTGTTACAATTTGCTTTCAGTATTTAACGACAATAAAGTCATATTATATAAATACATATATATAATCACGAAAGCAAATTAAGTCATTCCCTTTATCACGTAGGCTAGATGAACAATATTATTATTCAGTGTAGGAAAGAAATAAAAAATTCAACTATTGTAGAGGATAATATCTTCTGGAATAGTGAAACTACCAGAATGAAAAGGATAAAGATTGCAAAACAATCTGATCAAACTGCTTCGAAAAAGCATCCAAATGCTTCTAAATTCTAACCCTAATGAAGAGAAACTAGAAGATAGAAACATCTTACACATAAAAAGCCTCATGAATTACAAAATAAGCATCCTATCAGACCTAATCTAGTATTCCCACAATTCATCCAACATCAGAAATTTAATCTTCCGAGTAGTGTTGAAACAGCGTTTAATTTTGTTAAAAATAAAAATTTAGAAGATTGGCTAAGTAGGCCAATTTTCAAAATAAAAGAGAGCCAAGTTGATGTAGGAAGGAGGTATGGATAAGGAAGAGAGGAGATAATAGGCAGAGAGATAGAAGACAGAGAGAAGGAGAGAAAACTAGAGGGAGAGATCAGAACTGAATTACCCTGGCACAAGCAACAATAATAACAACATCATATAATCAAGTCCTAGGCCCTTTATTCATATTAATCTAAGCCTAACTGCCAAATCATAGATTTCACAACTAACTATGATATGTGGTAATAGTAGTAGTAACAGTAATTAAGTAAATAGGAAGGGAGTAGCGGTCTCTAAATAGGGTACTGGAGGTGGTATTGGGGTCTATGGAATTGAGTATTACTGTTTACAACATTTCCTCGCTTTTCTGCCAACAAAGGTACTCTCTTTTATATTTAAATAACGTATCAAAGAGGATATCACAAGATTGAGTTTGGAGGGCGCATAAACCAGAGGGACTAAACCATGGTTTTATATACATACATATATATATATATATCCCATATGATTACAATTATAATTACGAATTACATTACAAATTACTTTTTTTTTTTTTTTTGAAAAAAAGGTACGTTTCTCCCAACAAAAGTAAAGTTTTTCTCAAAAAATATCTTAAATATCATTCATGAATGGAGGGAAAAGCTACTTTAAGCTCATGGAAACATAGAACAGGTACTTGAATATCAATATGCATAATCAATTCCCTTATATAAGGAATCTTATGCAACAACATCCGGAGATAGAATCTATCTCAAGCAGCAAAGCTTGGACATTCCTTAGGACAAAGCAGCATGACAAAATCTAGAGTTCAATCACTCTTTGACATGGCCTTTTGTGCCCAAAAATTGCATATCTTTGTTTGAAGAGGCCATGATTCACAGGTCGTTGATTTTCCATCACCCATCCATGGCTATATTTTCTACAGAAGTGACTTGAACACCTTTTAATTCTAACACATGAAAGTAACTAAGAAGCGGCAATAAATCTGAGGCGATTCTTTAAAGAAACTGACAATAAAATGAAACACCAAAATGTATAAACCAGTCAAATAGAACTCCAGGCAGTAATCACTTGGATAAACAAGGACATTAACCTGTTTATAGATTCTATGGAGCCAGCTACATGATCTCTAAGATGACGAAAGCAATGCAAACCAGTGAGTTCATCACCATCCTACAAAAGTTACAGAAAACCAACAATCATAAATCCATCCACCATTTCCTCCTCATGTTTTATCAGCATAAGTCCTTGGCATTTTAATACGCATCTAAGCAGTCAATGACTTAGTTCAGTTGTATCAACACATCTTAAAAATCTTAAAAGGCAAGACATAAAAGCACAGTTGGTAAATAATATTGACGAATGCTCAAATTAAAGACTTCTTTCCATTAACACTGCCAGAGATATCAAAACAACAAATTTGACATGTATGGCTTAGTCCATTCTGAAAGGACACGGATTGTTCAATTCTTCATTTATATCAAAGACGCAAATTATATAACCAGAAATAATTATCCTTCATAAATCCATTTACATGGAATTATGTACAGAATTATTTTGAAATAGCTAGCAAATGGATATGAACATGAAAATAATCTTCCGACATGGAAACAACAAAAGTAGAAGATCTCAACTGTATAGTTCCCAGAATATTTTCATGCCCGAACTGAAATTTTAGGGATTTCCATCTACTAATATCATTGTTCAACCCAAAAGGGGAAAAAAAAATCAAAAAAACAAAATCCGAGCTCACTGCTTTCCTTAGTTTCATTAGTCCCCCACTTTTTTTCCTTGAACTGCACACGTATACATGCATGACTCTCTCTACTAGTCTATTATACATCAAAAGAAAGGGAATGAAGCAGGCTAATGCTAAAGCCTTAATTATGAAAACAGGCATTAAAACTACTGCTCACAAGAATTCATATAATCACAGGAGTATACCAGCAGATGCTGCAAATCATCAGTTACATCCAGTGCTCCAGCACAATCTGCAGATGCAACAAGCTGTATCACAGAAAAAAATGTATCACCTTTAATCAGATTTGCAAGCATGAATAGGAGCAATTTATAAGCTCACAACTAATGTAAGAAACCCGAACAAAAGGGATCAACTTTGGAACAACTATGATAGGTTATCTAGATTATTAAAAGTCCAACACATGATTTAGCACCTTGACAGATCAGGCATTGCTTTTCATGTTATTTCATGCTGTTTAAATGATTAAATAACCATTAAATCATGTATCTAAGCGAAATTGAGAAAAAGGATGAATGAAAACGAAAAACAGAAATGAGATGCTTTCAAACTTGAAATAAACTGTCCAATACTTATGACTTCCCATTTTAAGTTAATTTAAATGTCTTGATCTTTAAATTAGTCAAGAAATCATGTCACCACACCTATGCCTAAAGCAGACAAATACGTACAGAGGATAGTAAAGCTGCAGATTACATCATCCATTAAAGAATGTCTAAGAACATTGCAACTCAGATTCCAAGTGACAGTCAGATAAAGTCACAACAGAGAGATGTCAGCTGAGGGCATCATATTTTAAAGACAATAAAAGGATGACTCGAAAAAAGGTGTCGACCATGCAAGAAGCTGTAAAACCAAGTTTTCAAATTGAGTTTATTGGCCCAAAAATAATGAGTGCAGATAACCTTAGTACCATCATGCAGGAGGTGGTGCCCCCACAAAAGCAACAAGATTGTCGATATTGAATGAGGCTTCTTAGTGCCGAAGCCTCAAGAAAGTACAATTACCAACACAGCTGATTGCGGGGAAATAATTAAAATACCATTGAAATCAAATTCTATAAAGGACATTAAACGAGAACATCAAAGGACTTGTCAGAAGTATACAAAGTACCAATTTCAAAGCAGATACTGCTTGGTTGACATATAAAATTAGTCTCAATTTCTGTTGAAGAACCAACAAGTTACTCCTAGTGGCATTCAACTCTTGAATCTGCCTTGCAGACTCTACTATATCAACATCCAAGAGCCTAACGGTCTCCTTCAATTCCCGAATCCGATTACAACCCTCAACAATTTTCATATTCAAATCTTGCAATTGCCCTTGGGCTTCGAAGAATGAGTTGGAGCGCAACGAAATCTCTTTCACTAAATGGAGCTCCACCACGTCCAAATAATGTGAGAGCTTCTCTTGCAGTACCAAATTCTCAGACACGTTCGAGAAAGGGCAAGCAGCGCGGAACGTTGCGCCATCTTCCAACTCAAAATCTTCTTTGAAGTAAAGCGCGGGAACCTCTCGTAAACATGCAACTAGTGCTTCACCTTGACCTCCAATGCTCTCCAAGTCCACATTCTCCTTGCTGCTATGTTTCCTTATGTCTTCGAATCGATTATATGGTTCAGAGATTGCACCCAAGTAGCTTTGAAAATCGGATCGCGTCACCTCTGATGAGGCCTTGGTGGAGACCAAGGGCGCGAACTCAGGAGGGGTAACGGTGGTGGAAGAGGACCACCATCCCACCCATGATGCATCTGAACCATAGATACCAGATTTACCGCCATAGGGGTTGTTGAGAATGGAAGACAAGCTCTGAATGCTGGCATCAGAATTCGATTTGAGAAACGGTGGGGAACTTGTACGGGCAAGCGTAGGAGATTCAATCGGGGACCTTCCCGATTGGGAAGGCTGCGAATCCATGTTCAGAAGCCTCAGACCATTACAATTCAACTGGTTCTAAAGAGGAAAGGAGTAAAGATGACTGAATGTTACAGGGGGTTCGGCGCGTGAAAGCGGATCCAGTGATCCGATATCAGAAATTCTGTGTGATGAGAAAGACCAAAATTTCAAGTTTCTTGCTGTTTGTAGGGGAATTTTCCGGCTGTGCTGATCCCTCTGCTCCTGCAAAATGGACAGATCTCTAGGAAACACCAATCTTCACGCAGATTTGGAACTTCAGATCTCACTCAGAAAAATGGAGACAACAGCGACTATGGAAATTACAAGGGGAGAGAATTTTTACGGGAAAACCGGTGGTTCAAAACCGGTATGGACCCGATATCGGTTCTTCAACTTAGCGGATAAGAATATGTGGGCATGACCCGTCCGCAGGCTGACCCATCCAAACCGTACCAAAACGAATCAGCTAAACCATACTGGATGGATCCGGGTCCTACTAATGGGCTAATGCACTAGCAATTGTCTGATTTAATATTTTCCACTGTTGCTTATTGGCCAAAAAACGTGTGTTCCTCCGAGGGGGACAAAGCGCGGAGAGAGATAAAATTAGAAAAAGTGAACGAAACACTGGTCTTAAAAAAAAAAAAAAAGAGGAGGAGGAACGAAACACCGAAAATGGTTCCTGTGTGAAGGATGTGATTTAATGCTTCCTCCAATGTCGAATATAAAATCTATATATCTAATTTATAGAAATTAAAAGAATTAGTTAAATTAATTATTTGTAACAAAAAGATATTGATTTTTCAAAGTATTCTTTTTAATTATTTGCAATGGAAATTATCATTGATGGAAAATCCTCTTAATATATATAATCAATAAGGAGTGTTTAGAAAGAAAAAAAAGTTATAAATTTAGAAAGTAAAATCAATTAAGTTCTTACATTTTTTAGGACCAAACAAGATTTTATATTTATAAAATAATTTGCTAGATGAAAATTAAAATGTCTTGTTATGAAAAAAAAATCTTCAAAAAATTAATATGATTCATTAAAATCAGATGGCATGTAGTTATACAAAAAAATCAATCTAAAAGGTAAAGTCTTAACTGGATATTTGGATTGCATATAAATTTGTTTATGAAATATAGAACTTTATAATAAGGTCTAAGTTCAATTACTAAATGTGCAAATTAGTTTGACCACTAAAAACTTCAACCATTAAAAACCTTTCTGTTTAGTATTATTTTGGCCAACGGTTCTCATGGAAACCAATAGTTGTATAAAAGGTTTTAATGTAATGCGCTGTTTTTCATAACCAAATATAAAGGGAAAAATATAATAATAAACAAGATCTATATTTGGGTTGTTATGAGTAAATGGGAAAAAGAAAGTCACAAGATAACTATATATAATAATGAGTCATGAACCTGGCAATTGACTCATTAGCTTTAACTCTTAACATCTTTGGTGAGCAAACTGCATAGGCAAGACAATAATGCTCATAATATAAAATTTGAAATATGCGTGTTGCAAGAGGTATAGCAAGAACATCAACTAATTTATCTTTGAGGGCACCATAGAAATCGCGCCTTGTTTAGTGAATTAATGCATTCATTATCAATAATTAAAGGAAAAACAAATTAAAATTGCAACACAGGATTACAAATGATCAGGCGTAGTATCATATCTAGTGGTGAAGGCATCCATATACATAGGCATATCCCTACATACAAGCTTCAAAAATATGTCACAAGTCACTTTGGTAGATTCTTATTGTTGAAATGCCACCTTTCATTGAAGAGCGAAATAGAGAAGCTTCATTTTGCTTTGTTTGTGGTATTAAGGCCTAGTTTTGATGTAGCATAGATTATTTCTTTTGTGCTGGTGGAGATTTCATTTTTGGATATGCTATCCTTCACAAGGTTGCCTCTACTGTTTGTCGTCTTGGTATCTATGTTTGATCATTATTGGTTTTGGGTCTTAGCACCCTAAGAGCTTGAGTTTCATAATCGTGCGTTCTCATATTCAAAACATATTTGTACTGAAGAAAAGATTTTACTCATTAGAAGCACTCTTAAAATTTACCTCCCAATTATTCACCCAAGGCTTAGGAATGGAGGTGTACTTTGTTTAGTACATTACAAAACTTGTCAATATCTTACCAGACCAATGGACTAGAAGAAGGGGTTTTATTGAGGATATGATAGCTGCAAGCCAAGGTAGAGGATGAAATATGCAAATGGTATCATCAAGATTTTGAGTTTCATTGTCCATGGAAAGGATTGGGAGACTCTAATATCATTAACTAAATTGCACATCCATTTATCAAGAAAGAAGTATTATTTGTTGCTGTTTTAGTTTGTCTTTCGTTAATGCAAGTATTTTGAAGAGTTCTAGAACATAAGTGTCACGCCTTACTTTCAGTCCCTTTTATACGTCAAGAAGGAGCAATTGGAACCACTTATCAAGTCTTTACATTGAGCAAATTCAAGCTGTAAATTTCTTCACCTCATGTTATTATTCACTTGGAATCCTAAAATAGGTCAAACTTCGAAAAATCATATATAATTCTAGAAAAATCAAAATGAGATTGTTCTAAGTTCTATTTGAAGCTCTTTGGATTCTCTTCTAAGAAAAAATAGTCATTGAATGAGTACTCTTAAAATTCACACCCAATTTTAGACCAAATAGTTACTATTTATTTGGTCATTTTTTTGGTTTTTTAGCATTTTTACCTAACTTTGGATAGGCATTACTTTCTGTGTAGATATCCCAATTGGATAAAATACCACTCATTTTAAAGATAAAAATAAGGTCTAATTACATGCCAAATCTCGTGGACAAAGTCAACCATTTGGCTAAATTTTTGTGCAGTCCAAATTTGGTGATTTTAAGATTTTTTTTCCATCCCCCAACTACTTTAATTTTGTATATATCAAGACCATAGTTCCTCACACTAACCATTTACTCATGTAATTAGGTATCATGACATGTCTTAATATATGTACACCTCAAAATATCATATAAGGTTATTCATACAAGTCAAATTACAAAACTTCACATATTTCAAGGGAAATATTCAAAGCCATATAATGTCACAAGACATGACATTACTTCGAGTTATAGTCACCTCCTTTCCTTTTTCCTTTGAAGTAGTAGCCCCTAGATAGTTTGTTTGAATATTAGGAGGGTAAGATTTTATGACAATCTTAGTAGCAAAGTATCACAATTAAAATGTCAACAAGTAAAGTATACAATGCAAGTCAACATTGAAATTGTAAATGCTTACTTCCTCTTGATGTGTTCAACCTTTGGCCTTCAAGTTCCCTCCCTAACAGTTCTCCTTCTTCTTTGATGCAAAGCCTATTGGTAAAATAGTAGGACATCATACATTACTAACTAATCCAATTCAAACTATCAACATAACCCTTTTCTTTTGATTTTTGGGTTACTTTTTCTAGCTTTGATTCATTGAATCCCTTGGTCTTTTCTTACATAATTTTCCATGTAGATTCTATATTTCAACTTAGATTTATCAAAATCCAATCCCTCTTTGGGGAACCGTGCTTGGCCAAAACATTATGCAACATTTCATATGCACACCATTTGCCATGGAAAAAGAGCAATTAATGAAGCCATTAAGCCATTCCTTGTACATATTGCCAAGGCGCATTCAACACATAATTCCATACATAGTGATGGAACCCAATCTTTATATGGTTTTCTCAAGTGTTTTCTAATGTTTTGCAACAATTTTACCCTCATTATGCGTGCATTTATATCCATTTGATTACATTGAGTCATGCATTGCATTTTGCTGTTTAAGGGGTAAAAACTGTCTTTTTTCTCTTCTAAATTTTAATTGCCTTGATCTGTAATCAGTTAATCTTTACAAAACTCTTTGTTGTGACTTTCAAACAATTGGAGAAGGACCTAAGAATCATCATGGAGCATGGATGGAGCCAAAATATTATAAAGACCAAAACACAAAAGTTGGGAGTGTTTTGCCTCCCCAAGTCGCGACATGGACTACTTAGGTGGCAACCTGGATGCCTCTAAGTGAAATTATGCGTTTTGGGCCCAAGTCAAGATGAGAGCTTTCTGTCTGCTCAGGTCACGACATGGAACCTATCAGGTCGTGACCTAACTCCCCTGAGTCGCGACCTTACATTTCTGAGGTCACGACCTGAGTGCGTTAAGTGAAACTGTGCATTTTGGAAGAGGTTTCTGAGCTTTTATACCTAAGGGGGGCAGCCACCACGAAAAGACACTCTTCCATTCTGCAGATTTGCACAAGGTTGAGCCACCATCATTTCCTCTCAAGTCTCCATTGATCCTACACCAAAAACTTCCATTTTTCTTATCTCTTCATCATTTTCTGAGATTTTGGACTGATCAAACCATTCCAACACCCTTCTTATCCATTTTTCCAACTTCATTTTTAGCTTCAACCATGGCTGTTCATTCCTGGAGCAATTGCGATTGGTTTGAAGGCATGAGAGGCTAAACCTCGTAGCTTCTTGGTGATGGAGAACGAAGCTTGAGCTCAGTGATCTAATCGGGGAGTTTTCTTTCTATAGTCTAAACCTTTGTTTAATGCTATGTTGAATATTTCTAGATTTAGGAACTTTCTGCATTTATATCAAACTTGGTTTATGATTGTAAATCTAGTGTTTAGACTATTCTATTGTATTTGGGTTGGATGATGTTAATGTCGATTAATCTATATAATATTTCAGTTTAAATCCTTGTGTTCAGTTTGATTTTCAGTGATTATTGTGATTAATCTGCATGCTTGGTATTCTATGTTTATCAATTGATATTCAGAGGACATTTGCATCATTCATTTATCTACACTCTAAATGGTTTTCAGCAGTGTCTTAAAAGGTGTTAATTAACTTTGATTAAAGTGAGTTTTCATTAATTAAGACATTGGACCCAAGTGATTACTTGGGGTTTTCTTCAGACTTAGAGGTTTTCCAAGCTCCCAATCATTCTAAAGAGCAATGATAGCTGAGTTTTTATCATTAAGAGACTATTTAACCATAATTCCCTTTTAATCTAAAACATTTCTTCATTCATTTAAAATACCAAAAAAATAGTTGACTTTCTGCACTTTACATTTGTTGCTCCACTCTTAAAACAACTAAAACCCCCCTTTTTACAATGTTTTTGAAAACCAAGTTAGACTAGGATTTCCAATAAGAAGCTCCTCGAGAAGAACGACTGGTTGCATCATATACTGCATCTTATCTAGTGCAACTCTCTTTCTTGACGATCCAGAAGGCGACAGTCTGGCACATCGATCATATAGTCACATGATTTGCTCAA